ATTTGCCAGCGGTGGGAAATCTTTGTTTCAAGAGGTATCTGTTTGACTGTCCAAGGTGGATTTTGGTGGCTTTTCCCACTGGTCAGAAATAAGAAGTTATTTTCTAAGACTGTGAGTTCCCCTGCTGCAAAAAACCTGGTTTTAGGGTCTTGTGTTTTTTGAATGAACGAATATGTTGCAGCACATGTGTTCTAAACACATGGTTCTATATGTGCCACAGGGAGAACTAAGATTTCTTTTTTCAGTCTTTTGAGAAGTATATAATATACACAAATGGGCTTCATTTAGCATTTCAGATTTCACTTCAATTTCTAGAAGGAGAAAGAACTTGTATAATTTACACAATCTCTTGGCTTTTAAATTTATGCAATCAGGAATAGTTTTAAATAATTCGTTCACAATCCACAGTTCAGGGGAATTATTTCTGTGAGCTTGAACAGATTAGTGCCTAAATAGGACCTTACATGAAGTTTTTTTTGTTGATGGCCATGTAGCTAGCAGGCTTGCAATAGTCAGCAGTCTTCTCCATCAGTTGTAGGGATTTCTTGACAGATTTTGTGGGTGGATTTACCTTGCTTGTTTATTTTAACATATTTTTCAGCACTCAAGCATAGGTAGTTCGAGTGTTTCATTGTGACACTTTTCAACAATTTGTGTAAGCAATGCCTTGCAATAGAATAATAAAAACACATTTAAAAAGTAGGTTTTGTACAAGTATTTGACAGCATTACACAGTACACAGTCTGAAACTTTCTTCTTGTTACAGGCTTGGTTAAATTTGACTGTTTGACTTTGGATAAACTGAAGCTAACTATAGGTCTTTTTGTATTAAGAATAATGAAATGTAGTCCCAGATCAATCTATGCATGTGCTGACACCTGTAGCTATATGAGATGGTGGCCTTTGAAAACTAAAGACTAATTAAGTTTTTGGACTCTATTTTGTCTGAAAATCTGCCCTACAACCTTCTAACCAGTGGTTAGGAATTGGCTTCTAATTTCTGATCCAAATGAATTTTAATGGCTAATCCATACCTTGTTGAACCAGTAATTTTTTTTGAGATTGAATAGCTGTATGTCTTTCATTGTGTTTGTTCCTGTTATGTTGTCAGAGTGTAGTTATTTACCCATCAGTTTTAGCTGTCTTAATTGTATTATTTTCTTTTCTTGTTATCTCCAAATGTCTTGCTTTCCTTGATATAGTATCCTTCTAGATGGATGTTGAATTTATCAATCGTATTATCTTTGTGTTATTCATGCCTTGCTGTTTTCCCTGGGAAATTTTTCTAGGAAATACTAGAGTTGTATTTGTGTCTTTCTCCCAGCCACATCACATGGATGTGTCTGATGTTCTGTAATCAGTTGGTGTCCTTGGACATAGCTATCACTTATGTGTGAGCTTCTAGTCTGTGTGAAGCAGAAATTTCCCAGAGTTACCAATATGCATGACTTTTCCAATTTCATGCTGTTGTACTTCATTCCATTTGTTACTTCAGTTCTTCACATGATCCAAATCTTCTTGCATAAAAACAACATTCAGCTGAACTGACAATTTGTTTGTCAGCAATTTTTAAAAAGTTTTTGCTTTCTGTACCTACTTCATTAAAGAAAAGGGTGAGTATTCTTCAGTCAAGCTGAATCAAGAATCGAGGTCCTCAGATGCCATTTGAACTAGGCTACTAATCTCTGTTCTTGAAACTACTTGTCTGCCCTGTAGTGAATTCTTTACTGTTCTTATAATCCCTCTTTTCTTCATCCAAATAAGTAATTTTCTTTGTGGCACCATATCAGGTTTTTTCATAATCTTCCAGGGAAGTTGTTTTTGCACACTGACTTAGACTGACAGTTCAGTTTATCTCTGGCATTCTGTTCATCTCCAAGTCCTGTTCAAAACAGTCCCTGTGATTGAGGTAATATACTTACAGTTGCCTAAGTTGCTTCTTGCCCTAGTTACACATCAGAGAACCATTTAGTAACTTTTGGTTTTGTTGTGTTTAAATACATTAACTTGGTGTTACATGTACTGCTGCAAATGATTTGAAATATCTTGTCTGTTGAAATGGATTGTATGTTCTAATTCTTGTGAGGTCTAAGATTGACATTTTTTCATGTGTTCCCCTTATACAATACTGTCTTTGTTGTTGCATTCACCACTATCATTCTTTATTGAAATTTGGAACAGCACAGCTCACTTGGTTTGGGGATCATGCTGTTAAAAATATTACATGGCCACATCTAAAGAGCAGTTGCCACTGAGCTCCATGCTTTCAGAGTTGGTTTGGGCCATGTGAGAGATCTTGCACACTTCAGCTTCATCTATTTAGAGTCATACAGAACATAGGGCTGGACTGCTGTGACAGTGCTGTGAATTCACTGCTGAGTTCCAGTTCAGAAAAAAACCCACAGTTCTAATAAAATTCTCTTCAATAAACTGTTCCTAAAAAAGACAATAAAATACAGTGCAGAAAAATCATGTGTTACCATTGATGAATAAGTTACTTTTTAGTGGATTATAGTTGAAAACTTCTTTGTGGCTATGGTAGAAAAGAGATAGAGAACTTCAAAATCAATTGATTGACTTATGGATTTGAATCTCCTCAGCATTATTCTGTTGGCAGAGTAGCATTCCAGGTGTTAATTGGTGCTTTAATGTATTTGAAGAATGTTTAGTTGCGTCATTCTAAACTGTTATATCAGGCAGGTTTTGGAGAAATTGCAGCTGTTGCTCTTTCCATTTTGTGCCTTAGCCAGGGCTGCTAGTCTACCTCTTTAATAGCAGTCCGAAAGGGTATTTTTTGTTTTAAAATGGGGAATTAGGATTTGTTCTCTATGATTTTTATTGCATGGTTTTATATACAATATTTTATATATTTTTTATATATACGTATGTGAAAAGGGAAGTATTACTGGAAGGAAGATTGATATATAAAATACTGGTGGAGAACATTATTTTTTTAATAGGTTTGGACAGCATTTCTGGAAACTACCTTGGAGTGCGTCACTGAACAAAAATCACCATGAAATTGGAGTGAATTGCATTAAAATGGTTAATTTCTTCAATTTTTTTCTTGGGATTTTTTTGGTTTTTTTGGGTAACATGCTGTGTGGTACAGTGGCAAATAGATGTATCTGTGCTAGTGTGCCCCTCTGGTGAACAAGGGGGCAAGATCATCAAGTTTTAAACACTCCTACTCTTGCAATGTACAACAGTGCAAATACATATTCCTTCTGAAACTGGGCAAGACAGAAATTATTTTTAAAAATACTTTCAACAGACTATTACTAAGATTTATTTGGTTTTGCTTGATAGAATACCGTAAATAAAGCCTTTGTTGTTATTGCTGCATAAAGCTGTTGGCAGTTTTCAAATCCCCCATATTTTAGAGGATTGGAAGTTCATTACCAATGAAACACAGAATAAAGCATTAATACTTACGCTCTTACGTTGTTGGCCCGATATTTTATAGCTAGAAGGACATTCCTTATTAACTGTCAGAATTGGTGTTGTGGCATATGGAGCACTAAAGAGTGAATATTTTTGCTGTCATATCGCTTTTCCCTCTGCCTGGCCAGGAAGATTACTTTGAAGTTCCTGGTGCTCCAGACGTTTGCACAGTGCGCTATTCCAAGTCTGTCCCACCACAGCCAGGCAATAATCCTGGCCAGGGCCGTGGCTGCCATGGTGCTCGGGGTGCCTGGCTCCCTCTTTGTGGCTGCATTAGGGAGAAGTCAGAGACGTGTGAAAAGTAGGCCAGGGGTCGGGGCGGCGCCGCGCCCGCTGAAATTGGAAGTGACGGACACCTCCCGGCTCAGCCGCTAATTTGCCTCCATGTTAAATGCCCCCGAAGACTCATTAAAATGAAAAGTTCTTGGGTCTCGCCGACACACAGATTGAGTTATTGATGGAAGCGGCCACCAACAGTAATTGCTGCCCATCCCTGAGCGAACGCCTGTTCTGGCATTCATGAGCAGCGCCAGGCTGACAGGGGTCGGGGGGTCAACCCCACCGAAACGAGGCCGAGGAGAGGCAAAATCAGGGCTCTGTTCATCTTTGTGCAGCTTCGCTTTTGTTGCAAGGAACTATTGAGGTGTTCAAGCTGCTTTTTAGTCCTTTGAGGCCCAATTACGTTCCCCTCGTGCATCACCATTGAAAAGTTCTCTAAGCGGAATGTGACCGCAACTACTGCAGTCTGAAAAAGTGACTTCTTCCTCAGTTTGGCTGTCTTAGCTGTATGTTCACCCACTGTACAAGAGTAGAATTATGTTTTGTTCGTGGAGCAAATGGCGTGTACATACGGTAGTGTAATTTTTCAGGAGGAATTAATTTGCACACAGCTTGGGAATCCAGGATGTAATGATTTTGAATTGCAGTTAGTGTTGTCTTTTTTCTGCAGTTCTCTTCTAGGAGAAGACAGTAACAAGATAAATATATTAGGTGACCAAACTAACTGTTAAATTTAATGCAAATTTGGTTTTCATCCAACAGAGAGGCTGGGGGATTTTTTGCAATAAAGCTTCTCTACCAGCAGTTTTCAACAGGTGGCCTAACATGGTGTTACTGCTTCCCCACCAGTATTATGGGAAGTCACCACTTGCATTTAATTTTTATGGGAAATAATTTAAAGAAGGTTTCATTTCTGTAAAGAAAATAGTTTTCAAACAGATTTACATGTTAAATCTGTTGAATACTACCTCTAACAGCTATATGCAAGTCTGAAATTATACATTTACGACCAGTGAGTTGACATATCTAATATTTTTAATAGGAATATGAAAACATCCCTGTGGGTTGTTACCAAAAGTTTATATTTCAGAAGAACCCTGCTATTCAGTTAGATAGTAAACATAGCTAATGTTTTCAGATACTAATGTTAATAAACACATGGGGGTTTTTTTGTTGGGTTTGTTGGTTATGCTCAGCATGATGACCACCTTGAGGGTTTTTTCCTGTTCCACAAATACATGAAGTTTTTAAACATCTTGTTTTATTTTATTTTCCAGGAAACAAAGGTGGAAAAGCCACAGAAGCATCCTTGCAGTCAAGCACCCAATCCTGTATTAGGCTTCACTGAACAGACTGAGCTTAGCATTTGTCAAGCAGAAGGGCTGGTCGCCCTGCACAGGAAGGATTAAAAGTGAACAATGACTCGATTGAGAGTTCATGAGCAATTGCTTGGAGCCTATCTGCTTATCATTCTCCATGTTCAAGGTAAATATAAACTAGTTGAAATAAGCTTGTCGTTCTGATTTGTAGCAGAGTTACGCTTTTTCCAGTGGTTGAAGTTTTTTCTTTTGGAGTTTCTTTTGCGGGCAGGTGACTTTACTGGCCTGATGTGTCATGGGATGCTTCCCTAAAGAGAAGGACATTCTAGTGGTCATTCATTGTAGTTTAGATTAGGTGTATTTTAGCAAATACTTGATTAGAAACAATACTCAAAATGCCTAGTACACCACTGAGCGGGTTGGATGAGCAGCAGAAGTGAAGGTTTGACTTCCTGAATTTCAGTTCCTTCTGTGTGTGAATATTTGATCCCCTTAACTTGACCCACTGAAGAACTTGCAGTGTGCAGTTCCCCACACCTTTTGATGCTCCCAGCAGTCTAGAGGTAGTACGCCATAACTAATCTAAATGAACTTTTTGTACCTACTTGATGGGCCAAGGTGAGGCTATGGACTATTCACAAATACCCTCGTTTTCAGTTAGTGAAGGTACTCATTTGTGTGTCTTTTGTCTTTCCATACACCAATTATCAAAAAACTTCTGGAAATTCAGTTATCATTAGAACTTTAACTCCTCTGTCAAATTGGATTGAATTGAAAATATACATCCCTGGTTGGGTCTCTGTGTAAGAGTGTTCATTCTCCCAGCTGTGCATGCCTCATGTGTTTAAGTACACAGAGCTTTCCAGATATTTTCAGAAAATAGAGAAAACAAATTTGGTACTGCCATTTAAATACTTGAATATAAAAGGATTTATATTCTTATTCCATACTTAGATCAATTACTGCTTAGTGAGTGCTTGATTTTGAGATGTGAGATTTACTATTTACTATGTGAGATACTTACTTTCAAGAATAACAATTCAATGAACCCATTAAAATGGGGAGAGGAGGAAGCCTGGTAAGTACCCAAATGCTGATCTTTTTGTTTTGTTTCTGGTGTGAATCTGCAATATTAGATTAAAGGATATAGCAGAGCTGTCTCTTCAAAGCCTGGGCTTGGTACATCCATTTGGACAGAAATAGCCTAGTTTGGGGTATACTTGAAGTCTGTAGTAGATTACAGATATTTGCAGGTAGCTGTAAGGTGCTTAGATTAGGTAATGGGAATAAACTAAAGAAAGTTTCATTGAGAAATTAAGAAAGAAGTTTTGACTGAATGTGGTTAAGTATTACAACAGGCTGCCTGGGCAGGTAGTGCAATATTCATCCTTAGAGGTAGTCAGAACTTTACTGCAGTGACTTGAACAACCTGGTCTGATGTAGAAGTTGGTCATCCTGCTTTGACCAGGTGGTGGTACCAGGTGACTTCCAGAGATCTCTTCTTCTCTAAAATACTCAGACATAGTGTTTTGCTGTGGAACTTGTTCTGTTTGTATTCAAGCAGCTTTACTGCTTCTGGTGGAAGAGACCAGCTTCTTCCCTTGTTCCCTTGAGGAGGCTGGGAGTAATATGCTTTGTTCTTTTTGCTGAAGCCATGGTTACTCCTCTGCATTAGCCAATATTTAGCATTTTAATAATAAGCAATACCAACTGAAGAGTTTTTTTTCCTCTGTAGATTCAAATAGAAATAATAATACAAATATGCAAGTCTTCTAGTGGCTTAAAATTAAATTACATTAACTCCTTCCATGATTACAGTGATTAATAACAGTTCAGTAAATAACTTCCAGTAAGTAATATAGATAAATTAAGTTTAAAGACTGAGTATTATTTTTCAGCTTCAAATGAAAAAATTTCCTTATCTTACAAATTTTCCTGACTTTCAAATTAATACTGGGAGGGAGTTCTGAAAGCCGTGAAAAAGTTGAGCTTATTGAAATGTTGTTAGTTCTTTGCAAGTTGCCTAAGGGCTTTTCTTCAAACATATGAAATATGCTTGGTTTCCAGGGGTGGTGAGGAAAAAGCCAGTCAAATCTCTCTGCATTTCCCTAGGTTCATGGGGGAGGAAAGAATTAAGATCATAGTCATAAAGCATTTGACATTTTTATAGGAAAGAGACAATCTAAAGTGAAAAGTTTAAACCATTGAAAAAGTAGTTTCAACTAGGAAAATATATGCAGGATGTTAGAAAAATGTATCATAAAGCAATCAACAGAGGTGAAAAAGATTCATTAAGAAAAATTGAAGAAAATTTGTGTGATTTACAGAAAGAGGAAGAAAAAGCAGAGAAAGTAAAAACCAGTGTGTGTACTTTCATTGTCAGGCATCCAGGTTAATGGCTTGCTCTCTTGGGGTTTTTTTGGAGGCTTCTTCAGAATGTTAGGAATTTCAGAGCTTACCAAGACCTGAGAGAATGATAAAAGCAAATGTGTCTGTATAGCTGCATGTATAAATACATACCAGATTCCTTAACAGGTAACTTGAAAAAGCAAGTGGATGCATGTGTTGATTACTGTGAAAATATTCTTACAGTAACAACAGAAACCAGAGGCAGCTCCATGACATTACTGGTGAATAGCTGCAGTTTCTCTGCAGGTTGGTACTACGCAGCAGGGGGACCCAGTGGTTGCCCGTTGGGTTGTATCTTTATAGCTTTGGGACTTCTTCATTTACTTTGAGAAATAGTCAGAAACAAGCCTGGGTTGCAGATGGCCAGATTTAATAGCAACCTCTTCAGTTGAAACATTTTATATTTCCTTTCTTGCTGTGGAAGACCTTTGCAGTGTTTTTAAGTCTGTGACGTGCTCTGCATCTTCATCCACCTCCTTTTTCTGATCAAAGGCAAGAGGTCTTGGGCTTCAGCCACACTTGTGGCTGCACTAAACAGGTTTTGTCTTCCCAGTAGTGCAGGGTTTTCAGGCAGAGAACTACTTTTACTTTCGAGTATTTCTTTGTTGTTATAGTGCATTGATGAGCATGTCTGATCAATATATGTAGCAGTAATAAAGTGCTTAACATCTACTTAAACATGTTCTCATAAATGTGGTTCTTCATTGCTGGCAGTTTACTTCCCATGTGGTTCATCACACGTTTATGTATTCTTCAAAGACACCACAGAAAACCAGTATTTTAATCCTTGTAAATTAGTTGACTAAAGGTGTATTAATACCACTTGATATGCATAAAGATATATTAAAAGTCAAATTTAAAAATGATTAGTGTTAATATTTAATATTAAAATTGATTTAAAGTTGCCACTGTTACTGAACTAAAAAAAAACTGTTGATTTTAGTCCACTGCTCTAATTACTTTTATTCAAATACTTGATATAGATGAGGTATATATTAAGATACATTTTAAAAACTTTATGTACTTTCTCGATTTCAGATGAAGTAGTTAACTGAATTTGAATGTATAAACTGATCTGAAACAAAATTCTAAAATATATAGAAGGAACTTACAGTTGTCAGTAGCTGATTCATTATTTGAAAACACTGGTTCTGTTTATTAGTGATTTCCCCAATTAACGGCTGCATCTGTCTTTAAAATATGGGCAGCAACCATGTTCTTATAAATTTGTCTGAGTAAAATTCTTCCAGGGATTATTTAAAGTTGATCTATTTCTTTATTAAAAATTCGCATTTAGTTTTAAGTAACTTTATTCTTTAAAAGCCCTTTTAGTTTAAATTACAATGCAGTGTATTTTTAAGAAAAATGCACAAATTTTTCAAGTCTCTGGCTTTTATATTGAGTACATAAGAACAGAGCAGTCTTCAGAAGTGCCTTTTGGGGAAGGGAAATGGGAGCAGAGGTTGAGGACTGTGGGTTGGGAAGCAGAGGAGGCAGGGGCTGCCTGTCTATGTTGTGCACTGATGTAGCTCCTGGGAGAGCTGGAAGGACAGGAGGGAGGTTTTAAACCAGTAGTCTGGGAACATGCTGTGATTTTTAGGAACCAGTTCTGCTAGATGGAGCTACCTCTAACATGCCTGGTCTTTGGAGATCACAGCCTTGATATATAAAAAAGCACTATAGGGAGAATTATGGTTACAACGCCAAACACAGAGTTTGGAGAAGCATTTAAGATACTTTCTTTGCACTCATACAATTTTTCTGATTTTTAAAAAAGTTATTTTGTCTTTGAAAAGCAAGTGCTAGTATTGTGTTCAAGCTGTGTCAGTTGTACTGAGGTTTAATTCACATAACAGAGCATGTTAAATCATTAGGAAAGTTTGTGATAGGCAGAAAGGTGAAATGTGCTTACTGGAGTGGGGGATTTTGCTGTATCTGTGTCCTAAAGCAAAAAAAAAGTAATTTAGAACTACCACATAAAAATGTCAAGGTATGGCTTTTTCATGAGCAAGGCATATCTGACATAAAGAGCTCTGATACAACTTTCATCTTTGATGAAAAGAGCCCAGTGGCATCAGCACCAGCAGGGAGGCAGGTAAAGGGGCTCTTCTGACTAAGATTTTTCTTACTTAAATACTGAATTTCTTGGAGTTTACAAGCGTGGATCACAGTAGCTACAAAGAAATGCCTCTAGCACTGTATTTCTGCTAGGATAAATCCCGTTAAAGGATAATGTGGTCTGGAATAGAAATGTTTTTATGGGCAACACCTATATTATGAACTCAGAAAGCTATCAAACAACTTGACTGCTATAGGCCATATTGGACCTTCCTTTGTGGAGAAAGAGAGGATACAAGTAAGTAAAAAAATTGTAGCCATAGTTTGGCTTTTGCATTTGTCTTCTTACACTTACTGCTGTCTCTGCATTTCATAGAGCTGGTTTTTTATGGGTCACACAAATCTTTTCTTAGATCAGAAGACTAAATGAAATTATATCTGTATCCTGGCATTAAGTTGCAAGCAGGTTAACTCGGGTTTTAGTGATTAGTAACACTGCAGTGTCACGCACAGTACATTTTTAAGATTTATCCATGTTAATATTCATATTTGATGCGTGCTTTCAAGTAGACTTAGATTTCTAACCTAGTGAGATTTTTAATATCCTGTGCTTCTTTGAAATACATTTTATAGTCTTAACTTATTTTCTGTGACTGGAAGAAGCAGTGCTTTGAATAATTTATATTTTTGTTCAAAGGCTGGATATTATACATTGTCAGGCATTGTTCTAACAATTTGTTTTATTATTAGCTTTTTCAGTTTTTATTTATTTTATTAAAATAAAGTTTAATTTTAAACAGAAAACCATTGAAGTGTTGTCCTGTCTGTAACAATTGTTCACACTTGTGTAAATCTACAATGCATGCAGTGTATGATGGGGCAGAGCAGAAGACAAAATCAGAACTTGAAGTCCCATCAGCTTTTTTCTCATCAGTGTCTTACACTGCAGTGAAGTTAGGAGAATGTTCCACCCTTACTCTGATATTTTTTTGAATGTTGTAACTTTGTAATGCAGTAAAATGCACAGAGCAGTTTGTATGTTTAGAAGTCTAATGATACTGTCGTTCTCAAGGCTGGATGAACAGGCTAGAAGTGATCCAGGATCTTGAACAATCTCACCAGTGTGTGATAGCTCATTTGTTGCTCTTGTGTATTATTTTGCCCCACCAGCTCTGTGCAATTTGCAGGTGGAGGTTAGGAAATGGTGTGCCTGGAGTCTCTGGGTGCTGCGTTTCAGTGCACAGTACACTGCACTTACACCTTTGAAGGTTATGTGAGATTTGTGTATGTATGTTTCTTAGCTGTACTGCAGAGTGACAACTGCAAGTGTCATGGAAAAGAAGAGATTAATTACATCATCAAGTAGTGTAGTGTCATAAGATCCTAAAACATGATCCTCCCTTTGCCTGTCCTTTTCCCAGGGGGAAGATGCAACAGTGTGAATGTCTGAGAGCTGGAGCTCTGAGGGTGGAGACGTAAACCTTGGAGCAAGATGTTCTTTAGGCCTATCCTTAGTTCTCTCTTCTTCATTTACTCAGCATTTATTAACCAGGAAAAAATGGCAATGAAGGATCCTGTGAGTTCAGGGCCTTCATTTGCCCTCTTAATATCGAAGGTGGATGGAAGCCAAGTCTTTCCATACTTGACTCCCATTCCCATACCCAGCAGCTTTAAAATGGACACTAATGAGTCTTGAAGTGCTGCTGCTGAATTGCAGTACTGCAGTAAAGGAGACAGTTCGGTATCCTAGATGTAGGCAATTAAAAACTGTTTAGTGAAGTAATCCCAAACTTCCTCCAAATTTTCTTATTCTCTTCCCTGGGTACTCAAATTTCTGTCTAAGAAGTGTTTTGCTTACATTCTTAGGAAGTAAAAATGCAAGAGTGAAGTGATTTTCTTTCCCCGCCCCCATTCTTTGTGCAGTTCAGGTATTACCTGTAAGATGAAAGCAGGCTACTATGGAGTTTTACATTACAAAAATAATGAAATTGTAGTCTGTTCTTGCTTTGAATAAAAATCTTTGCCTACAGAAACTGAACAAAAGACAAAGATGCTGTTTCTTTGAGAATACAGTTATCTGTTTTGGATTTTATATGGTATGTGCTTTTCGTAAATCTCGTAATGCAATCCATCTTCATAAATGAAGAGGTAAAATGTATTTCATGTCACTTTTAGTATAAAAGGTTGGTATACTGTAGTCATGCTTCAGTGTTAGTTTACAGGGAATTATACTGCCTTAAAAGATCCCAGACATGCACAAAAATGTTGTTCTTTCTGTTCTGAGCTAGGAGAAGCCATGCTTTAAGGGTTCCTTGGATTTCTTGTCTAATAAACTTAAACATTGCATTCAGTGATCAGGGTAGGAAAATGGATGAGTGACTGTAAGACGCTGATCATAAAATACCATAAAGACTTTCAACATGTGGAATGTCACTCAAGAGGGATTTATAACATCACTTGGGAAGGATACTGTAGTCATTCAACAGAATCAGAAAGACAATATTTGTACATATGCAGTGGCTTTTGCTTTAAATATTAAGTAGAATTACCTGTTCTCTGAGCAGGTAAGGATCTCCTTAAATGTGAATACAGAATGTTTTGTAATGTCTTTAGCAAAGTATTAAAATTACCTTTCAGTTTATGCTGGGAAGAAATATGTAGAAAGAGAGGGGGGTGGATGGAGGAGCTGTTTCAGTTGTGCAGGATTCTTCTTGGTTAAATCAGAAATACCTATAACCTGCTGTTATTCTAGCATTGGGTCTTGTTTCTTGTGAACAGTCTGTACAGATCAGCACTATTTAACTTGGGCATTACTGAAATACTCTTTGAAGACCACATATTAAATAAACCACTGCTCTGTGATTTCAGTGTTTAGGTAAATGGTGTATTTCTCAGGATATTCTCTTACTTGTATCCAGAAGAAGCAGAGTTGCATTATTTTGCTGCACTGGACAGTGCACTGGGTGTGCTCTATTAACCAGATGAGGAAATCTGCAGGTCTGCTATTTTCAGTACAGTAGGATCAAATTTCACAGGTATTTAATTGGCACTTGTCTGAATGACATAGTGGATGTTACAGTGATGTAGAGTGATGCAGAGGGCTGTATCTGCAAGAGATTTTAATCAAGTTTTTCTGGACGCGTTTCAAGCAAGGTACAACAGGACACTAATATTCTCATCACTCTACAGCTTGTATTTGCTAGGTTTGACAGGAAGCCAAAGAATCTGTTCGAAGACACTCTTGAGTTTTCTGGTTAAGTTTCTTTTCCTTAGAAAAAATGAAATTTAAAAATGAAATTTTAAAATGAAATTTTTATTGTGACCTCCATTTTTTTTAATAATAATTGAATTTGTAAAAGCTTCTGCTGGTCCTGACTGGCTGCTGGCTTATCTTGCCAACATTGACCCTCATACAGAGCCTTGCTGTAATCTGTGTCAGTGCAAGTGATAGTTTGTTCACAGCTCTTCTATCTGTATTTGGTTCGTACCTTAAGGATTTAGAGCCAAGGTGGTGGACAGAAAGAGATTTCTTGTTGGTAAAATTGTGTGTGATAAAGCTGAAGGAGATAGGTAAAGATGTTCTCATCTCATACAGTAATCACATAGCATATTCCAAATGAGGCAGATAACGTTCATCATTTTTGTTCTGGATGTTCTTCACTAAGAAGGAAAGGGATATTTTCTTCTGAATGCGTGCATTCACAAAAGCTCTTTAATAATATGATCAAGAAAGAATGATGTTTAACTCTGCTACTGTTGAGGGGTACTTGGAACATGATGCAGCCCTGTTTCTGTTCTGTGAAAGCTCGTTTGGATGGATGTTCGTGTCATTTACTGAAATTTAATTTGCAAACGAGATTTACTTTAGCTGTGTTTTGAAGTCCTAATGCATACAGAGATCAAAAAAACCAAGAGATTTTGGAGTTATTACTGCTCTTCCATGAGACTGTGAATCCATAAAAAATTACTTCAGAAAATTAGAAAATTGCATATTAAGTATGTTCAGCCATGCATAAAATTATTCTTGTTGTGGTTATTAAGCCGTCAGCATTTTGGTTTTCTGAACACATGAATGAGAGAAGCTTTCTTCAGAAAATTCTAACCAGTTACACCACTGCTTTCCTGCCCTCCCCGGAAAAGAGAAAATATCTTTCTGTTTATATTGATTATATATGGTTGGAAGATCTGCTGTTAAGGTACAAAATAACTTAGGAGGGTATCGCTAGAATAAAATTATTAACTCAGATTTCTATAATCTTGGGAGAGGAGATTGCCTTGTATACTTCAGTTATAAATATGATTATTATTGTCATATTTTACCTATAAAACTCTTGAGCAGTTTTCAAAGAGATGCAAACTTTTTTTTTGTTCTATTTTTTGTGTCCAGGTCAAAAGCCAGACAGCATGCTTCATGGTACAGGAATGAAGACAAATTCTGACCAAAAGAAACAAGCAAATGGAGTAACACTTGCTCCAGAGGACACCTTACCTTTTCTTAAATGCTACTGCTCAGGACATTGTCCAGATGATGCTATTAACAACACATGCATGTAAGTGTTGCATTCAGGATGGAGAGGCTCTTTGAAGAACATAATTTTGGATTTTGAGAGCACAAACTACCTCTGAACGCTGACCCAGGTTCTCTCAGGAGGTCTGACCATAATTGATTATGTTCTGTCAGTGCTAAAACCCATGGTCATCTCCATTTTCACCACACCTTAGAATAATTTACAACTGGTCATTTTAAGCCTAGCAACTGCTTTGAAGGACAGAGGTTTTAAGTAACCCTGTGGTATTTTATAGCTGGGTGAGTATTAAGTGACCCAAATCTAAGCCTTCTGACATGACCACCTGTTTGCTTATTTCTTCACCTAGTAGTCAAAAAGGTAGTGTAAACAACATGGCCATTTACTGAGAATTCTTCTTGTTACATGAAGGACTATGAAGGAAAGGCAGGGGAAAATAAAGAAAAGCCTGTGGACATGTAGAGACAGGAGGGAAGTTTTATCTTTGATAGGTATAAGAATCCTAACAGACTCATGCATAGGTTATGTGCTTGCTTAAGGTGTTTTTTTTTCTTTTCGTGTCCTGAAACGTCCTTCTTTTTCTTTTTTTCTCTCCATTTACAATTCCATGTTCAAGGCCCTTCTGTTTTCTTCCTTAAGAATTAATATACACAGTTGAAACATATTACTTGCTCCTGTACTTTGAGTCTTCACTTTAACATTCAGTCTCTCTAAGGTGTCACTTAGCAGTTTTTGTGGAACCCAAGGAGGTAGAGTAAACACTGCTGTCTTTTTAAATGTAAACACAGGCAGTAACTTACAAACAGTTTTGAGCTGAGAAAATGTTCCAGTATTTGTCTTTTAAGCCTCTTGGTATTTATTTATTGGATTTTATTGCCCTCTAGTGTTGGCAGTCTGTATAGGTCTTACTATTTTTTTTCTGACCTGGCAGCTGATAGGCCATTATGCTCATAATGAAGCTATTAGTTAAAAAACACACAGTGTCTACGTGCAGGGTACCTTATGGCATTATGCTTTCCACATTTGCATTTCTTTGAATTAGTGTAAATAGATTTTTTGCAAACAAAATTATTTCTAAATTTGTTTTTCTTAGTATCTATGTTGAGGGAATTAATGAATATTTGTGAGAAAGCATCCCTGTAGTGTTCTATCCGAGAATACTGTGGGGGTCTTTTGTTCTCAAACTGGATGGTAACCACTCTATTAAATAATTTTTCTAGAAGTTTTCATTCTAGAATTCTTAACAGGTTCATGGTCAACTAATGCTGAATATTAAATGATAAACATGCTGGTCAAGCACATGTGATATGTTTATTGCAGAACTAATGGGCATTGCTTTGCTATCATTGAGGAGGATGAACATGGAGAACCCACGCTTGCTTCTGGCTGCATGAAGTATGAAGGTTCAGACTTCCAGTGCAAGGTGAAAAAATGAGATTTATACCAGTGCCATACTTTCTTTCATGTTTATGCCACTCTCTTTTTTATATGGCGTTCTGAGGATGCTTCTAAAGCAAATACTGCTGCTGTGATGAGTATAAGAGAAAAACTTCTAAAGGGATTGCGTTTTTTGTCTTAAGAGCAGTGTTTGTTTAACATATGGTTAACTGGTTTTGGCTAAGCTCAAGATTTTTCCCATATATGAAATAGCAACTTAAGTAGAAACTGTCTATTTCTGTGCAAAAGTGGAAAACATCTCATGAAATATAAAAACAATGCAAGATCAAATGTAGGCTCAGAGATTAGATGATGTCTGTCTGCCACTGCAGAGTGATCTCATACATGAAATGGTGTGGTTGAAGTGCCTTTTGAATAAAATAGCTTGCACTTTTGTCTGTGCTATGTTGTAGCTGTAGCATCTCCTGTCCCTGCTTTAGCTTCAAAGTCTAATGTTTATTGAATTCTCCTTCAACAGGACTCGCCTAAAGCACAGTTGCGCCGAACGATTGAGTGCTGTCGCACTGATTTCTGCAATCAGGATTTGCAACCAACATTACCACCTCTTGATAGTACAGGTAAACACCTCCTGTATGTTTACACTGCTAAGGAATGCTGTGTAGGTTCTGTTCTTCCTCATCAACAGTAAAAGTAAAGAGAAAATGTAATTACAGTATTGCACAGATCTGTTTTTTTCCGTACTCAGTAATTTTTATTTAAAGATCTGTACTACTCTTCATTTTCTATTTTCAGTTTTCCTTTTTTGCCACTTTCAAGTTAATCTTTTCCTTGATCAATCACTCATGGCATTTTTATTCTTGTTCTTAGTACGTTCATATCTTGACTGCATGTGATTTTCTGATCTGTTTTTGTTCTGTTTCCACAGTCTGATCTCTTTTTAAAATGTTTTTCTTAGTCTCTGCTGTGCTTTTACCATTATGAATGCCATCATAAAAAAAACTATTCAGACCTTGTTAACACCTCTTTATTGCAAATCCATTCTCTTCTTTCTGTTGTTCCCAGCAAAAATAGTTTGTTTTCTTGTGCTTACTCATTCATTGCTAGGCAAGTTGTACTGGTCTAACTGTTGCTTTATATCTTCTTAGAACCTTACTGCTCTAAATCCTTAATTTCTTTTCTAACGAACTAGCAAGAGTCAACCAAAACCAACAACTCCAAAATCTCAAGCTGAATTTTTTTTTTTTTTATCATCCAAATGAATTTATCTTTGCTTTTGTGGTATAAATACTTACTTTGATACACAATATATGAAACCGTACCTAAATAAACTGTTTACAATAGATGTTTAATTAATAGACTTTGGAAACTCTCTTTTTTCCTTTCTATTTTTTCTTTCTTTTTTTTTTTTTTTTTTTTTTTTTTTTGTCAAATAGATGGACTTTTTGATGGCAGCATTCGTTGGATGGCAGTGTTGATTTCTATGGCAGTCTGCATAATTGTCATGGTCATCTTACTTAGCTGCTTTTGTTACAAGTAAGAAAGCACTTTCTTTATTGGCAACATTTTTAATTTTGCAAATCAGTGTAAAGAGAACAGTTATTTTGCTAATGTACTCAGTTAATCGTTTGTAGATTGGAAATAGTTGTAACCTGATTTCACATTTTAGCAGTTTCCATCACTAGGTAAAATGAAATGTTCACAGCAGACAATTTAAGTGGGTTTGATCCTTTCCTCTGGGTACAAAATAGTTACAGTTTTGCAAGCTACACATAATTTCGATGCTATAGCAGCTGGTAAACAGGAATATCATCATGCTTTTTATGCTTTTGGATATTCAGTCACTTTAAATAGTTAAATTTCATCTGCTTCTGAGATTTTCTGCTGAGTTTCAAAACTAAGTAATTATCCAGCTGAGCTATGGCAGTTCATTCAGGTGCTTCTGTTAGCACCAGCCCTGTGCTGGAGGTGATCACTGTTCTAGCAGTTTCCAAGGCTTGTGTCAGCCTCAGCTGCTGTAATTCAAGGTTCTGTCTGTTCATTTAACGAAGTCAGCAATGTTGTGCTGGTAACTCTGGCTGAAAGTTGAGTATTAAAAATGGTGGGTTTCCCCCTCACTGATAATCACCTGACAAACCTGTACATGCATTACAACAGATTCTTAACATTAAAAAGCTGTATAAGTTACATTTCAGGAAAAGAAAAAAATACAGTAATAACTGCTTCTCAGTTTTTTTCTTTTGAGAAAGTGTGTATATTTAAATAGCTCCTTTCCTAGAACAGTTTGCTACATATTTTAAATGTTTTGGAGTTCAACTTAACTGCTGTTACTTTTGCAGGCATTACTGTAAGTCGATGGCAAAGAGGCACTGTTATAATCGTGACCTGGAACAAGATGAAGCATTTATTCCAGCTGGGGAGTCATTAAAAGACCTTATTGACCAGTCACAGAGTTCTGGGAGTGGATCAGGGCTACCACTGTTGGTAGGTCATAAACTTGAGATTTTTCTTCAGTGAATTATTATCTTCATGTAGTTAATTAAAATTGTGTGAAATTAGATATGTTAAAAAATCTGTTGGCATCAGCAGAATTCAAAGCAAACTTAGAGCCTACAGCTATTAGGATAAAAATACAAGAAATGGCTCATGTAAGTATCAAATTGAGTGGACTCAGAGATTTTACTTTCTTAGTATCCACTGATCATTAAAATAGAAAAGCCAGGGAGGGACTTCTTACAGGGGCATACAAGGGGAAATGGCTTTAAACTGAGAGTAGGTTTAGATGGGATATTGGGAAGAAATTCTTCATTGAGGATATTGAGGCACTGGAACAGGTTGTCACAGAAGCTGTGGATGCTCCATCCATAGAAGTGTTCAACACTATCTGGATGGGGCTTTGAGCAACTTGTTCTAATGACAAGGGGTTGGGTGATCTTTAGGGTCCTTTCCAGCTCAGACCGGTTTGTGATTATTATTCATAATTTTGTTCATTCACCATCCTATATAACGCTTGCATCAAAATTAGCCAGTAAGACAGATGACTATTTATAAATCAAAAATAAAGTGCAAGAGAACATACCCTTCAGTTAGAAGTTGAGTTGTCTTAAATATTTTTGGGGTTTTTTTAATACCTTGGAGGCAGCAATAATGAGTCCAAAAGTGGAATGTAAAAAATTTCATGGAACAAATTTTACCATGGTATCAAACTTGAAAGTAATCCAAGCTTGACACTTGACAAGCAGCCTGGCCAGGTACTTTTATTTAAGTGGTATGTTTCCCTGCTCCATCTTATACCTTTTTTTTTTTTTTTTTTTTGTCTTCCTTAGGTTCAGCGCACTATTGCCAAACAAATTCAGATGGTGAGGCAAGTTGGAAAAGGACGATATGGTGAAGTGTGGATGGGCAAATGGAGGGGTGAAAAAGTGGCAGTCAAAGTGTTTTTCACCACAGAAGAAGCCAGCTGGTTCAGAGAAACAGAGATTTACCAAACTGTTCTCATGCGACATGAAAACATCCTCGGTAAGGCAGCAGAACATTGCTTGGCTGCTGGAGGGTGGAGGAGGAGCTCTTAGTGGGTCGCTTGAGGGATCTAAGGCAGCTTCTGTGGAATCACCAGATGGGTTATTCCCTTAATGTGCTCTAATAAAATGTTACTCAAAGTGTAGAATTTTGCTGCTTTTGGTTGGAATCTTTTTGCTGGAAGGCTGGACTGGTAACCTCACATACAGTTAGAATCCGTTACTCAAAGTGTAGAATTTTACTGCTTTTGGTTGGAAATATATCTGCAGTCTTTTTGCTGGAAGGCTGGACTGGTAACCTCACATACAGTTAGAATCACAGGTTCTACATGGTGAGTTTTTAGAAGGACAGCATGTATTTTCTGCTACAGTACAAGAAAATGCAGCTTTAGGAATTATCACTAAAGCTATTACACAAAAATTTTATGTACCTTGGTTTATATATTTCATAGGTTTCATAGCAGCAGATATTAAAGGCACTGGCTCCTGGACACAGCTTTACTTGATCACGGATTATCATGAAAACGGATCATTGTACGATTTTCTGAAGTGCACTACTCTGGACAACAGGGCTCTGCTCAAACTGGCCTATTCTGCTGCATGTGGCCTGTGCCACCTGCACACAGAAATCTATGGGACACAAGGCAAGCCTGCAATTGCACACAGGGACCTGAAGAGTAAAAACATCTTGATAAAGAAAAATGGAACCTGCTGCATTGCAGACTTGGGTCTTGCAGTCAAGTTTAACAGGTAACAAATCCTCTGTCATGGGAAAACTTTGATGTAATTTTTTTATTTAATGTGCCAGATACCCAGTTTAAAAAGGCAGATGGAATCATTTGGTTGTGTGCTTTTGGGGTTTTTTTTCCCAGTTTTGAGGGTAAAATGTAGTTCTTGAAAGCTGATAAACATCATGATGAAAATAGGTTGTTAAGAAACAATAAAAATACTCTCATGGAAAATAAAAGTTTTGTAGAGGAAATGGAGACTAATTTTTTTATTCAAAACTAGCCTTTCATAGTAATTGCAATTGTGTAAATTCTTTCATAGGAAATATGAACAGCATATAGGTAGTTGAAACTTAATTGAAGATGCGTTACTTTAATAATGTTGTTAAATACCTTTATTAGTTTAAGTTCTATGGAGACAGAGACTTGTCTTTTTAGTGGTTGTGCCATACAGGATTTCACACATTGTAACAGTCCACAGTTCAGTAACTTGCTAATGTTTTCATATAGTGACACAAATGAAGTTGACGTTCCCTTGAACACCAGAGTGGGAACAAAACGTTACATGGCTCCAGAAGTCCTGGATGAAAGCCTGAATAAAAACCATTTCCAGCCATACATCATGGCTGACATCTACAGTTTTGGGCTGATCATCTGGGAAATGGCTCGGCGCTGTGTCACAGGAGGTAAACTTTTAAATATTCTGGATAAAATCTACCAGACCCTTCCCTCATTCTAGCAATGCTTCCCCAGGAAATAATATAATTAGCTTGCTGTGTCATTAGGCTTGTATTCTTTAAAAGCAGTAGTAATAGTCTGACTATTTTTGTGACTCATCCTGGCTTTTCTTTTACTCTTCTTTTGTATCCTTATGCATCTTCACCTGTATTCTTCTTCCATCTTATGTTTCTCTGTGCTCCTTTGTAGCATGTAGTAAATTAGAAAAGCTAAAGCTAGCATTTAGTATCAAAATCAGAGGCACTGCAAGGAATCATAGCTACTAAAGTTAATAATGATAATATTGAAGCTTTTACAGTAAATTATTGTTGTAGTGGAATTTTCAGATTTTTACCACAGTAAAACTCACAGTGTGTTGAGTTTAACTTGGCAGAAAGTTGATATTTTTCCTGGCTAAGGAAATCTGAGAGTAGATATGTGGATTTATTTATTTTAATTGTTCCTAATCTTTCACAATTACCTCCAGGTATTGTTGAAGAGTACCAGTTGCCATATTATGACATGGTGCCAAATGATCCATCCTATGAGGACATGAGGGAAGTGGTGTGTGTCAAACGCCTGCGCCCAGTGGTGTCGAACAGATGGAACAGTGATGAAGTGAGTGTGCTCAGAGGAAAAGCTGCTTCAGTTTGTTCATTAATATGGGGTGGCATTTTAGTTTAGTAAATACTAAAATGTTGTCAAGTAGGACTGCATTCCCACATTCTGATACTTTGAAAACCTCATAGCAGTAATAGGAGAAAGACATGCTTGAGATCAATTCAAAATACTGTACTTTTTTATGTATCTTTCCAGTGATCTAGGGGGAAGATACCCTTAAGCAGCATGCAAGTATATGAATACTGCTCTACTTGAGATCATGTATTTTAGATAGTGGAATATATTCAGAGTTTAATTGGAGCTCAAACTTAAATTATTTTTTAATTCATTTTATTAGTCCTAATAGATATAGTTTATTGGTTTGTGGCATAAGATATTTCATGAAAGACAAAACAATTCCTTTGTGGATTTCCTCTTCCCTTTTTTCCTTTTTTACTGTTACATCCCAGGATGATCTGTGATATAACTAAAATACTCTCATTTATTTGTGTTTTTAAAGGGCCACAGCTTGAACACAGTAAATAAGACATAACTATTTCACATAGCAAGCTACATATGTCATATCCATTCTTCCCCAAGTCCTTGACTTCTATGAATTACCAGTTTTCTCCTTTTTTTTTTTTTTAACTGCTGAAAGAACTGTTGTCACATCTTCATTTTCCCTGAAAGAATTCTCTATGGTTTTGCAGCCATATATGTGGAGATACTTCTGTTTATTGCTGCCACATTTGTACCACTGTTCTTGAGTTGTACAGAGAAGTTCTGGTAATGCATCACTGAGAGACTAAATCAACACTTCCATTAGTTCCAGCTACTGTTATACTTGGCAGTGAGGGGGTGGGATAAGAAGGATTGGCATGTGGATGTTGGGTTTGGGGTGTTTTGGGGTTTTTCCATCAGTAGATCTCTTTGTAATGGTTTTCTACCAACAATTTTGCAGAAAATTTGGAAGCTGCACATTTTTGAACTTGAAAGTTCTGTAATTTGAGCTTGACAGCGAACCAGAATTATAACTTTAAGCGTAGCAATTGTTACAATAATGTGCCTGTGTTTTTCCTTCTGCAGTGTTTAAGAGCAATATTGAAGTTGATGTCTGAGTGCTGGGCTCATAATCCTGCCTCAAGGCTCACTGCCTTGAGGATCAAGAAGACACTTGCCAAGATGGTGGAATCACAAGATGTAAAGATTTGACATAGGAAATTGACTTTGGAGAGCAAAGCTGGACTCCCTAGATCTTTTCACTCAAATGTGGGTGAGGAAGATAAAAATAGAGAAGAGGAAATAACTGAGATTCAGTATATTTTCTCAGCACACTTCTACAGGCTGCTAATGAAATCTTTCAGTACTTCATGGACCATGATACTGAGAGCCTCTATACACTACGTGCTACATATATGGACAGCCTTGAGAAAATACACGTTTTGTTTTGGTTTGAGCTGCATTGAGACTTCAATCATACTTAGTGAGTCTCCAGTAAAACTCTGGGTACTGAATTGAATGTTCAGATTACAGTGCTTTCTGTGAAAGCCTAACAAGCTATATGGATTCAACAGAGATGGAGAATATAAGCTTTTTTGGTTTTTTTTGTCTTCTACCTGATAAAACCTAGTCAATCCATACCAAGTTTTGGTGAAACAGCCTGTAGGTTATTAATCTGTTTGTGATACTACTCAGTTAAACAGTTCTTTATGCCTTTATGTGTGTGCCAGGATTATTTTGCTGTCATTTGGAATATATAAGAAACCATTTAAATGAACAAAGTTTTATGGTCAGGGCTCCATGCATTTTGTGACTCCACAATCAGAGATTTGCTACTGAATCTTTTGCCATTAAGTTATCTTCAGAAATCTCAGTTTTAATTTCTTTGTCTTTTATTTGGTCACAAGGAGAACTGCAAAAATGTGAACCATTAATTAATTAAGAAATGCCTACCTAAATCTGTAAGGAGCTTGAAACAATCCCTTCTAGAGATGTAGGCTGCTTTGGTCATCTCACTTGCAGTCTAGAGAGAACTTCATAATTGGATCCCTGAAATTTGTCATATTTTTTTCACAGTGCCACATGCAACCAGCATTTTTGCCATAGAATACTTTACATCTTAGCAGAAAGACTGATGGTGATGTGTGTTGCCTTCCTGCTGTATATTGGGACTCTGATAGGTGTCTGTCAGGCTTTGAATTTCTTCCCACAAAGGAAGGGATTTGTCAGCTGTACCATGTGCTCTTTCATCATTTGACAAAACTAGGCAGAAGGTGAGTTTTGAAAGGCTTGAGAACAAGTCTGGTGTACAGACACAAAAGAGGAAAGGCAGGAAGCTCTGGGTGCTCTGAAGATCAGAGAATGCAGTAAAGGGTCAAGACCAGGAGAAGTGAGTGAGAACTGTTGAAGATCAGATCCACAGCGTGCAGAAGATTTGGAGCTGGGTTGCTCTGATGTAGACACAGGAGGCCACATCTGTGGGCCACTTAGTGGAAGTGAAGATTTGAGACAAGGTAAATCAGTGGGTGTTTTAAGTTTTAGTTAAGTTTGGGAGGAATGGCATTGAAATTAAGTCATGAAGATACAGTAAGTTAGCACAATTGTAAAACTTGGTTTTATTGTGCCAACTGTTGGACCTGCACGAGAAACTGAAGTTCCCCCATTTTCACCACTGACCCACACAAGGTGTATAGAAGCCAGAACCCTCCATGAGGTTACTGTAAAGTAGAACTATTGATTTATAACTCCTTTGGCACTTCTTCTTGGAAGTTAGAAAATAGTACCATAACTCAAGTTGAAGCTTCAAAGCATGAATCATCTGAAGATTGAACACACAGTATTGGAACCATTGAATCTATTTGATAATTTTAAGTGCCTATAATTTTGTACTGTAAATCTTGTTCTAGATAACTTTAAAAAGGGAAGTTATTTATACAGTGTGTTTTGTGCTTTAGTAAAACAAAATACAATAAATACCTAGTCCTAAGTACATCTGTACAATTAGATATATGCACACACACATGCCATAGTTGAGATTTGAAGAAAAAAGTTAAGAATAATACCAGAACTGATGAAATTGTTAAAACTTCAGATTGATTTATGCCAGATTATTTGTTGTCTTAAAATATTTACATAGAGATTGTTTTGATGTGTTTAAATTTCCCTTGAAAATACAACTGATACAAAGCAATGTAACACAGAAGTAATGTGATTTGTGAACAATTACAACCTTTTAGCATGTTACCTTTTTGTTTTAATCCTGTAGATCCCATAATGTAAATGGTCAGGCAAAAGATTGCAGTATTTTTATTTTCTATTGTGATGTACAGACTTTATTTAACAGTTCTACATATTTTATAGAAAACTAGCTATTTCAAGGGACTTTTTTTTTAATAAAGTCATTACTTTTGTTTAGTAATGCCTTTAAGTATTAATATGTATTCTGGCTGAGAAGTTCATAGGTATGTCAACTTTAACTTATTTGAAAACAGCAGGAGAATTACGATATTGTGCCACAATCCTCATGATAAAGGGCTTTTAAAAAAAAGTTTCTCCGTCCATTGCCAAGAAATTTATGATGATTTTGAAATTGTTAATCATGTCTTCGCACATAATTTTTGCACAGGTAGTTGGAAAATTTTTGGTATAAGCCAAAAAAAGTAAGGGATAAGCTTTTTTTTTCCTTCTCTAGAATTTTTATCAATAAGAAGGAAAAAATGTTTATGTAGGTACCCTGCTAGCTTAAACTTTCAGAGCATGGAGATCTGTCTAAATTAACCCCATCCTATGTAGAATATTTTGTCATTTCTTCTAGAATTTGCCACATCATCATTAACTGTAAACATGCTTTGTGAATTTTTTTTTTAAGTTCATTTTTCCCAGCTCTTCAGGAAGCACCTTCTGGAAGTATGAATTTCAATAATATGCAAATTTTCACTTATTTTCTTTTCCATTGTTTGGGTATTTGCAAGGCAGCAATAGCATGGTTAGACACCTTAGGACCTAAATTAATTTTCAAGTTGCTTTAACATAGAGAGAGCCAACTGCTGCAAAGATGGTTTTTTGAGAGGGGAAAAAAAAATCTTTTTTGCCTTAAACCTAATTTATCAGCACTTCATTTACTCTGTTCATACTCAAGTGTATCATGCATGTGTAGTTTTTGCTGTGCTGAACAGCAGCTTCCTTGATTCTGATACTCAACAAAACATTAACACTAAAGGATGTCTATATTGATACTTAATCATTTGGGGGGAAAAAATGTGCTTGAAGCCAGCCCATTAATTTTTACTTAACTAAGCATAATTAAGACTCCGAAGGTAAGTTGTTGCTTTATGCAATCCTGTAGTGTTCAGAAGCCTTTAAGGTCAGAGAGGGTAATAAGGTTCTTCTGTTGGACTGTAATTAACTCATTTTTGGTGGTCAAAATTTTAAGCATTTGTCATTCAAAAAAAATCCTCCAAAACTGGCAAATGTGGGGGTTGTTTTTTTGCTTTGTTTTTTTTTTAATACAAAAATCAGCTGTGTGGAAAATACCTTGGGGAGTATCAAGACTGTGCCTTGGAAGTTCTTAAATACTCATATGGAGGGATTTTTATGTTTATTGAACCTGTTCCATGTGATTTTAGATGGAAATAATTGGAGTCACTTCATTCTTATTATTACAGCAACTAAAAGCAAAGTTTTTGTGTTCCTGGTTAACTTGCAAATTCCACCAGGAATGTGGTATTCCTATAGAGAAAATTAGGCTTACATTCTGAGTTTATTCTGAATTTTACTTAATGTAATTTTTCCTAAAGAAACAGTTTTCCCAATATCCATCACTTTTTCTGAATTATTTTCTTAATTAGCCTTCTTTGAGGTCTTGAATGAAATGTAAAATTAATATTTTAAGTTACCTCCATAGTAGTATAGAATCAAATTTTAGATCTTGATCTAAATGACCATTTGAATGTGTTTATAAAACAAATCATTTGGATACATTTCATCTACTCTGTCTTAACAGACTGTATTTTAATTGTCTAAAAGTGTTTGAAGAGCAGAGATATAAAGTTAATAAACATTCTTTTGCTATTGCAGATATTTTTAAAGGGAAGTTACATGCCTGTCTTCTGTGAAATATTAGAATGATTTAGCCTTTGCTCACTCTCCTGACAGTGCCTCTGAGTTAAGTCTTTATCCTGTGCCCACCGACTTTATTCCAAGTAGGGGTGATGTCTAAAAGCAGCTGGCAGTGTTGCACAGTACAGTACTTATGGAACCATGGTGCTCAGCCTTGGTTGAACAGCGGAAGTAGAGGGCACATTACTTCTGTTTTTTTTCTACAAATCTAATGTAATTGTTGCTTTGTGATATTTTCCTGTTTAATGCAATTCTAGAAGCCCACATCATGTAGTGATATTTGTGCTCTGACATGACATGCCCAAAATGAAATGTACTATATTGTATACAAGAAGAATAAATAACATTGTAGCTAACCTAGAGAAGATGTAAATAAAATATGAAAGAAGAGTGGAACAAGACAAATGGTCACACTCTTGTGTGTGTTATATGCCAGAAGTGTAGAATACTACTTTAAAAATGTAACACACTAATGTATTTTGTACAGCATCTGCTTTAGAAGGTGCCTTATTGAGTTTACCATGAATTGCTTGTTCTGTACACAGATTATGTCCAATGTATCATTTTTAAGTAAATAACCTTATTTTAGTACACATTAGTAATGTGTTTTGTTACTATAAGATTTTGCCTTAAAGATGTAATAACTTGGAAATCCTAATACTGTAACTAAATAATTCCCTACTTTTTCATACCTCATTGATGGCTTTTTTACCCCACAGTAAGTTGTTAATTACTGCTTTTATTGTTCAATGATATTGAAAATTATTTGGTGCTCTCTAAGTTCAAGCTCTTTATTCCTTGCACAATATTTAAATTTGGGTGCAACAGTAAAAAACAGTGTTTCCTTCTCCTGATTTTTATCCCTGTGTTATGGCAAAGCCAAAGGCAAATCAAAATCAAGTAATACTTCTGTTTGAACATATGCAGGTTCCCTACATGTTGGTTTTATCCGTATAAATTTGCCTCAAGCTTACCAGGTAAAAACAGAAAAAATAAAGGGATGGGGAATTTTGTAATTGCTTTTTGTTCCCTCCGTGTACAACATTCTTTTTGTGTAATAGTATCCAAATTAAGATATTTGAGTATAATATGTGTATATACTGCTTGTTGCAAAAATATGCAGGTGCTTCTGTATATCCTGCTAAATTTACTCTGGTTTTTATGATTCAAGCAAATGAAGACCAGTCAAGGGGATGTCTCACCTGTGAGTACTGTGAAGAGAGTGTCAGAATTTGTTTTCTCATTGCCGAAATGTATTGGCTTCTACTCTCCAGAGTCCACCTTTAGTTTACAAGGAGAAAGAAGTAAGATCAGTTGCTGTTCTCTTTTTGCATTTAATCAGGAATAATCTTAGATTTAAATACATATTTTTTACAGTAGCTAGAAAGTAGCTGAACACCATAAAAACTGTTACCAATATATTATAAGCCTTGTTTTGTTTTCCCTATACAATCAAGTGTTAAATTCTTGCAGTATAGTTCTGGAAAGTGCAGTGGAAAGATCAGCAATATAGTTTCAAACCTTTCTGTCCTTAACATATAATACTAGGAAATTAGACTGCACAAAGATTTGGTCTTCTTAAATTAGTATCTTGGCAAGGTAAACCTTTTTCCTGTGGTTGTGGCTGTTGTGGAATGGAATGTCTTCACTGGTTGCAGTGGTCGCGGTTGGATTTAAAACTGGGATTTCATGTTAGCGTTGCAGGAGGGCTTGATGAAAATTGTGGGTGTGTGTTTGCACCTGTCCGTGTTTATTGAGCTGCCTTTTCTCTCGGTGCTGCTGCGTGACACGGCCACACGGTGGTGCTGTGTCCTGAAGAAAGGGCTTGGGGGAAAAACGGGGGAGTTCTGCGACGTGAAAGTAAGTTGTACTGCCTGCTGGTATTACATACCACAATGTTCTCCGTTGTAGATGGGTGGGTTTGACCACTACATAAAATACCTTACTGGTGAGTTGGCATCAGTATCTAAGAGGTGAATCAGCAGTATCCAGTGAAATGTGTAAACACTGCACATGCATGTTTTGTGGGCACACCAAAAAGTAAACCAAGTAGTTAGCAAACTGAATCATGAACTTTTAAATAAATAGAAGAATTATCACTAAATTCAGAAAAGATCAGGTTTAATTCTATTAATTTCCTTAATTCCTTCTGCAGTTTCATCTTCACCTTTCCCTGGAACACCACTTTGGTCTTTCTCACTGATGTTGAATGCAGTAGATCAGTATCAGCTCAGAAAGGACCACTGCTGTGGGCTCACCACCTCCTGAGTGCTTCATGAGGAGATCTCCTTGGGTTTCAGACTCTGGCTCGATGTGGATATTACCTGCAGAATTCAGGCATTGCTGGAGCTATAGAAAGTAAAATTGTTTATACATGATTCAGTCAGTACTTGAATTTGGAGTACAGTGAGGAGATTGTCTTATTAATGGAAAGGGAAAAAAAACTTTAGGAGACTTTAATTTTAAAATGTGCTGTAAGATACTGACATTCATAAAGCAGCAGATCAGTAACAAAATAATTCCATGAAGGCACTAAGATACACAGCTTTCTACCTTATTACAAAGCTTAGTGCATTGATCTGGAAATACAGAAACTTGAAGCAGTGGCAACGTTTTCTGGCAGGTTTCTAGGAAGTACTAAAAGCTGCTGGAAGCTTTTATTTGTGTGTGTGAATGTCAGATTGACATTACATATATCTGTATCCTGGAGTGAGCACACGTTTCTGTGCCTATTGCTGCCTGGCCTCAGGCACATTAGTCTAGTCAGTCTGCTGTGAGGGAAACTGAAGCTCTTACAGACAACTCTTCTCCGTGCCTATGGTCAGCTTCAGGTTGTTTTTCATGTTTGGAAATTCTCCTAAATCCACTGAGCCAACCAATAGCTTTATTTTAAATTATCTTCATTAAATTGATTTCTCTAGTTTGCCTAAAAATACAGGTCATAGTGGTGTGGCTATGTTGGTATAATAAAAAAGCCCAAACTACCATCCCACAAAAAAAATGCAGGAGTGGTTTAGATCGAGGCTTATTATAAAGCTGGTTTATTGCTTTGAACAAACAAAACCACAGCCCAGTAGATTAATCATTGTTCTGTTGTTGCTTGAGAAGGAAGTCAGACTTCCTGGCTTAAGTAGCTAGCAGAGTGATTTATTCCATTCTCTTTCATTCATTTTTTGCCCCATAAAAATTAGTCTTTCAGTGAAGTGTGTCTTCTTTGTATGTGCAAGTGGCTAACTTAAGCACATATTTGAAGACATCTTTAGAATACAGAAACATCTTTAAATGAACATTTTGTTCACTCTGGAGTCAGTGTTCTCTGAACTCATCTGGAATATTCTTCAACAAAAGTACTCTGGTAAGCACAAGGAAGGACACAAAACCTGACAGGATGAACTGCAATGGTCTCTGCTACCTCCTGTGTCCATTTCCGAGTGGTTTTCATTCCAGCTGAAGCTTTCTGTCAAAGCTTTAAAAACAGAGAGTTCTGAAATACATATGTGTATCCTATCCCCCATATGTAACATTCACATATTCCCCAGTGGTGCTTGTTTGTGGAACTTGGCTGGTAGGTGCAGAATGGGTGTGCACTGAAGATGAGATGTTCCTTGAACCACCCTGACCTAGGCAGCACACTTGGCCTGGCTCTGCAGAATGCTGCCACCACAAAAGTCAGGAATTGGAGGAACACTGGTAAAAACCCATCTGAGTCACCCCAGGATGGTAGCTTTGTACTGAAAGAACCTAATCTTACAATTTGATGCTTTTCTTTATTTTCACCCTTTTAATTTTATTCTTGTTTCGTCCCTCAGATATTTTGAGCAAAAGCGGGACAGGAAATGACACTGAGTTTGCAGGCACTTAGTGCTGCCTGCAGCAGAGCAGTGGGAGCCATGGCTCCCTGCTAGAAAAACAGAAACACCTAGCCTGGGCATCTCCTGTGGAAATCAGCACTGGCCAGGAGGAGATAAGGAGATTTTTTGTTGTTAGTTTTCTTGGATTTGTCAGGATAGAAAAAACGATCTTCTCAACAAGTCAATAGCTGAAATTGCTTTGTAGCTTTATTTCAAAAGATAGGTATTGTCTGCTTGTCAGACTGTTGCTTTAGGTGCATTGTGTGTTGGTACCGATGTGTTTGGGGTTTTTAACAATGATAGGTTAGTATTGCTTAGAGTACTAAGGTAGGTGGGGGAAAATTCTTAACAGCAGAATAGATTTGTTAAAAAATGCTGCCTCAAAAGGGTGCAATTGGCGTAATAATTTATATCTTCATCAAAAATACTAGGAATTTCAAAGTGCATTTCATTTTGGCAAATTTAATTGTTTTAATCTTGCTATGTAAGGTATTGGGATAGATAAAAATACCACAATACTTGGACTTCTTTAAAGTGAAAGTCTTTGGGAAGTTTTATTTGACAAAAGAAAAGTTTAAGACATGACCAGGCATGGTCACTTCGAAGTTTTGGAAATAAAAAACCCTCTACATTTCAGAAGTTCTACTCTTTGATTTACTCTCATCACAAATTTATATTCAGCAGTGAAACAGGCCAATGAGCTTGCCTTTTGATTTTGGTTTTGCTTGCTTGGTTTTAAAATATTTACTAAATACTGAACTTTGGGCTGAATTCGTGATAATCTCTAGGATTAACTTTAGAAATAAACTGTGTTTTCACCAATACTTCTAAAATATTGTTGATATTTTCGTAGTGTCTAAATGTAAATGTAATTCATCTTAACAATGCTTTAAATTTTTGCAGTGTAGCTGAAATACATCACAGGCCAAGAAACAAAGACTGGACCATTTAGGAGATCCTTGCTTGCAAATACTGGCAATAGAGTGAATTTTAGTGGGTTTGATGGATTTCTTCTAGTGTTCATGTTGTGCACAGACTGAAACATTGGAGTGAGTTGCAGAAGTTGCCAAGATAGTCTGTGGTCCACAGAGAACTAAAAGGTAAAATTGCCCTGGCTTCTGGGTTTTAAGGTACCATCCACATAACATGAGAGTGTGCAGTCCTACCTAAAATCTTTTCCTTGCCACTAACTGGGGATATTTGTCATGAGAGGATATTCTTTTGTCAAGGGGAAGGAGAAATTTGTGTTAAGTGAAGTCCCACAAAACATTTATGTGCAGTTCTCACATTGGAAGGATTTGGGAATGTGTGTGCTGATACGTCTGGAGTCCAAACCATTAGCTTTTCACTTGAAAGAAAATATCATTGCTGCTCATAAGCAACTAATCAAAAGCCAAACACTTCCAGAAAAGAAGCATGAAGACAAACCTAGGGTAGTGCTATGTTTAAACACATGCAGTAGCATTGAATACATCACAGATGAAGCAATAGTGAATGCATCCATTGCACCTATGGAAGGAGATTAATAAAACATAAATGTCACTATTCAAGTTTTAGATATTAGGAATCCACCCATAGTTGTCCCAGGCGGGCTTCGCTTCACTACAGAGCCTTGCAGCAATTCAAAGCACACTGTCTCCCCCTTCTCCATTTCTGCTATAGCAAAAGTAGTCATGGTGTTTCCATGTGGGGTTTTCCTCTGACTGCTTGAGAGAGTTCTTTTGTACCCACGGCTGAAGGAGAGTTGTCCCAGTGCTGGTCCTGAGCTGAACTCCGCAGAGATGACAAACAGGTAGACACCCTTGTGTGGTGCTTTAAAGTGGCCATGTTCAGAGAAATAGCTGTTTCCATAATTGAGGTATGTTTCATTAAACCTCACAGTTTTTTCTTTATCCTTTCTTTCTGAGAATCCCACGTGGAATGCCACCAATGAGTCTGAAAAAGAAAGAGGAACAGGATTTTAGCAGTGAGTGAGCGCTCTTCTGTCCCCAGGATCATCAGGATGGGAGATAAGGTGAATCCCTATCAGGCCTGATTTTTATATGCTTCTTTGCAAAGCTAGACACTGGAGTAAATAAATGATTCCCTGGAACTCTTGGAGAAGTATAATGCTGGGACCACCCAGGGGGAAAAAATAGCACTCTCTTACTGTCCCAAAAATAAATCAGTTGAGAGTATGTTCTCTGCTTATTCAGTTTTAACTACAGTTTTGCAGCACAGCTGCCTAAAGGGGCTGATTTTTGTTCTGTTATTTGTCCATAGCAAGGACTGCAATCATAAAAGCCAATGTTAAAGCTGTGGTGGTTGTAATTACCAGGTGCTTGTGGTCACATGCTTATAGGGAAAGGGAACTGGCCAGTCCCAGTGAAGTATGAGCTGAAAACTTTTCTCTGAAGCTTGGTTGTAAGAGAGAGAGTATGTGCTCTCTGGTCAGTGCTGCCTGTTCCACTTGTGCAAATTATAGCAGTTCATTTAATGCATCTGTTTGTCTTGAGAAGGATTTGGTGCTTTGAGTACACTCCTTCCAGAGCCAAGAAACAAAGTAACAGGAAAAAGAAGCAGTCCACATCAGCTTGCAAAGGGAAGAGTGCTACAGCATTAACATGAGCATCTACAAACAAAATTTGTCTTCTAAACACCTCAAGTTGAATTAGTTCAAGACCAATTTCCTAGCAGCAATAACAGGTGTTATTTTATTGGTCTTAACCACAGTACAGCAGAATATCAGCTTGGTTCTCATTCAAACTGCTTTTTTCCCTCTATTTAAACTGGTGGAGGGGGAGGATATAAGTAATGTCAGAATTTCTCCCTCTAGCATCCCACAAGATACCTGATAGTTCTTATAACTAATACTGCTATCTCTGTGTGTGGAATTTGTATCAGGGCCTAAAAAGAAGCTAGACCTGTACATAAGCAAGTGAAAGAAAAGAACACACCTTTTTCCACAAATTCTGTCTGCACTGTATTTCTTCCACTTATTGTTTGTGTATTTTCTCTGTGGTTCTCAGACCTTTTCTTGTCTCTTTGCTTGTCTTGACCTTTCTGTTGCCTTCTCCCTTTTTTCTGCAGCATTGACTGAATCTTTGTAACATCCAGACTTATATTTGAGGCACCTAATTCTTCATTACTTCCAAATAGTTTCTTGAAAGTCACCAGATGTTCCTCCAGATTCCGCTTGATGGTTGCTAAGTCTGCAGAGAGAATTTCTACAGAAACATTGAGTGGCTCAATTACATTTGCTATTGTATGATTGCAGCAGAGACTTAGGTCACCTCTGGATTCATGCCTCTTGATTGCCAGGCTCAGATGTTTGATATCATTCTTCAGAGTCATGATATCATTATATGCTGTGCTCTCCAAGGAGTCATCTTTGGCAGCCTCATAGTTAGGTTCCATGTGTTCTATGACACTGCGTTGACTGCTGACTTCGTGTAGAGTAGAGGAGGTTTGTGTTTCCTCCTCGGGGTGCTTAGGAGGCAAGTGAGCATCATGATTATTCTGGTGACTTCTCTCCAAGGGATGAAATCTCCTTCTAAGAGATTCTAAAGTCATATTTTGTTCTTGCAGTTTATCTGAAAAGTGCCTGAGAGATTCTTGCAGCTGAAATACTGATGGTATTAGGCTACTAAAATCATCTTCAAAAAAGACATCCAGAAATTCATGTCTCAGTAAAGCCTCCAGTGCTTCTTCGTGCCGCATTGCGTCTTTCAAAAGAGAGCTAAAAGAGCTGTTGAGATGCTTGATGTGCCGATGAATTTCTTCATCTTTCCTCTTCAGCAAGCCCATGTCTTCTGAAAAAGCCGTAACCTGTGACTGAAGCTGTCTGTTCTCTTCTTGACGGAGGTTAAGAGACAGATGGATGGACGGAATAGCTGAGGAGAGCTCTTCAATTTCACTCTTGAAGAAATCTCTGAAAACTGACTCCAAGTGCTTCATATCCTTTGACTGGGTGTCCTCAAGGGAATAAGTGCTATTCCTTGGATCTTCCTCCAGTACATCAGTGTCAGTAGATACTCTCTGGCAATTGCATTCCTCCATGTACCGCAGCAGATCTGAATAGTTTTCCTGAAGGTTTGAGAGAGTGTAGTTGAGCTCTGATATCTGCCTTTCCATTGCTGCATCGTTTTCTTCCATAATAACTGATTTCTCAGCTAAAGTTATTGTAAGATCTTCTGGCCTGTACTTTGAGATGTTTTTCTTTAACTCCTTAAACCACCTCTCTAAAACTGCAATATTCTGAAAGGCCACATCTGACTCCATGTAAAGTTCTTTAAGCTGCTTGGCATGCCCTGACAGTATTTCATTCATATGTTTGATGGTTAACTGGCTGTTTTCATCTTTGGGACCATGATGTAAAGAGAGCTCTGTTAAATTTTTTTTCAAAGCTTCCAATTTATTTTCAAGAAGGTTTTGCTCTTGTTTCATGTTTGCTATGCTGTTGTTCAAAGCTAAGAAATGGGACTGCTGTATCTTATGAAGCTTCTTGAGTCTTGTGTCAGTATCTGCCTTGATCATGCTGAGATTATAGTGAATATTAGCCTGCTGCATGTGCACTTTGTTCTCTATATCTCTTTTCGCCTGATCAACTTTCACTATGTTTTCTTGGACTTTTGATTCAAATTTAGTTCCCAACTCCTGGAATTCCTTCTTGGGCACAGTGCTTTCTTGGAATCTTTCTATGCTTTTCTTGTTGGCTTCCACATCATGGGACAGATTTCTTACTACGTTGGAGAGGTTCTGTAAGCTTTTGTTGAAGCTTGCCCACACTGGGTTAAAATGTTTTCTTAGAAAATTCTCCACGTGAGGAAACAAAACTTGCTGCAGAAGCCTTTCCTGATGATCTGTTAATACAGTTGAAAAAAAAAAAAAATTAAATTTAAATTCCGCTTTTGGAATGCAATCTAGACAGGTTAACTCAAGTGTTCATTTTTCTATGGTAGTTGCTGTCTTACTCCCCAGAATCTGACCTCATGATAAATTTCAACAATTGCAAAAATAGCCTGTTGTTAAATCAAGGTTACTATGAAGCACATGGTGTCTAAGACTGCGCAGAAAATAACTTGGATATGTATTGACTTCCCCATTTATCTTAAAAATTATGCTTTTTTGAAACCTGTGTACAGGTGGTTTTTCCAGTGGCCGTAACTGTCCATTTTCTTAACAGTTAGTGGGCTCTTCCTTTTTTGACTGTGTCATAATGTTCTTTTTCTCATGCTTTCCACTCCACAAGGTTATACAGCATCTTAACAGCTGAATATTCCAGGTTAGGAGTAAATAACTTGAAAAATCTGTAAGGTATCTGGCGGATATGAGAATTATACTAAGGCTCAGTTTCTAACTTTGAAGTTCAAACTCTAGTGCCTTGAAGTTCACTGAGTACTGTGTAGTCTGTATCATTAGAAAATGTTTCTGCAAGCCAGTGGCTCACTATGGTAGGTTAAATTCAGCAGCTCTTTTTTTCCCACTCCAGTATATGGCAGAAACCGTGTTCCAGAGATGGGTCAAATGTTTCATTTTTTCATGTAACACCAGTATGCTATTCCACACATCAGAGTGTACAGCATAAGTATGGAAAAAGAACAGATGTAAACTCTGCATCCCCACAAAAGAGAGGAAGCCATAGAAGCGGAATAGTGAGGTTAACAAATTTTAAATATAAGCAACCTCTTTATTCTGTGATTAAGGCATATTCTGAACAGTGCCTTTCCTCTCATTTCCCATTTCAAGTTACTCTTTGGTTCATTCATTTGCATTGGGATTGCACCCATTTTTTCTCTCTGTAGAAGCAACCAGCAGACCAAGGAATATCAGGTTATTTTTGCTTTCACATTTTCTTTCTGATTTGTGTGGTTTCACAGCGCCTGTCATGGGTTGATAATTCTGCATCAGACCTCTCACCTGAATTGCTCTCGTTCACTGCTAACACCATGCTTGTACCGTTGTTCTCAAATAGTCTCTGTAAGTCACCTAAGGTGCTGGCTGCTTGATGAATATCACTTTGAAGATCATCCAGTAAAGCCTCATGATTCTGAATGACTTGGAACATTTCTCTTGAATCCACTGATGTTGACACTAGTCACAAGATTAGAAAAACAAAGTCATGCAACAGAGTGCAGCGACCAGGTGACAGGTATTCATGCAAGACCTCTGAGAACACCTGTCTGGTTTTCATTCTGAAAATTTTGCACTGACATTTAGGGGGTCTGTTGATTTCTGGCACCTTAAATTGCAGTTTATCTGCAAGGATTTTTTCGAACAGTGATGGAAACCTAATATATCCAAATATTTGCAGAGAATTTCAGCTACAACAGCCATGATGGCAATAAAATGCTCTTAATTAGAAATCTCCCCATGCCATAAAAATGTTTTGGAATACTAACTCTTTTCAAGCCATTGACTAAAAGGATGGCAAGGTTTAACAGCCTAGAATAAAAGGAGGGGATGAAAGAGCAATTGACATTCCACTGAGGAATCAGAAGCACAGTGTGTAAGTGTGAGGCCTCATGGAGGGGCCCTTTAACTGATGTTTTTCTAAATAAATACTTGTGCAGTTGAGCTGTAGATTTCAAAGGGTGCAATACTTCCCTGAAGCTAATTGCTGAAAGGCACTTCATAGCGCTGCAGGCCACACCACTTCCCAGGTGGTAAGGGAGGGTCATTTGTGGTACTTACACTGGTAGGGTGGAGTGCTTGAGATACAAATGTAATTGTAGTCTCAGACGTACTGGGGGGCTGTTCTAAAATAGCATTTTCAGTGGATTGCTTTTCTGGTAGATTTTTGTGAGCATGGTGTGCTCTCCTGTGAACCCACTCCAGGGCAAGGGGTTAACATCCATGCCACTGTAAGGGGCAAGGCTCTGCACCAGCTGGCATTCACTGTTCACCAAACAGCTTTGAAACTTTGGGATGCTTTGTTGTGAACATTCACAGAGTGTTACAGCAAAAGCCCTCATTTAAGTCAGTAAATGTATTGTTTCAAAGCTTTCCCAGAGAATGCTTTCACTAAGGAGTTTGTCCATAGCTTATCACTTCAAAATTACAGCTTCAAATCTGTTTTTCTCTTTTCTTCTTCTGCTCAGTGACTGAGAGGTAAAAGGACGACAAACAAAATAACTTCAAGCACATACTGTGGTTTGAGAACTCTTCTTCTTGTCCTTCAGTTTCAGTTCCTGGCACCAGAATAAAATTAGGATCTGCAATTGAGATATGATATAGCTGTGAAAATGTTTTAGATGCAGAAACTACTGCAGTTTAGCAAGACCCCACAGGAATTTCATGTGTTGTGTAAATGGTGTGGAGACAGGCTTCCTGGGGAAAGAACACATTCTCTGGAGAGCTTACTTTCCTTGCACTGGCAAACGACATTGTATGCATGACAGTGCTTTGCAGTATAGTGTGGGGATTTTTAACTCATGCCAAGCTTTGCTCATAAGAAATTAGTCTATTGCAAATAAATGGGGCTTTTTTTCTTTTCTGGGGGTCCCATCTAGAGATCTGCAAATTCTTCTTCGTTGTTCCACAGTTACCTGAACATTCTGGTGGCAGCAGCAGTGAATGATGCTGTACAAATGAGAAGATATTGATGGAGGAGCTGGTTTTGGTCAATGAATGTAACAATAGAGAGACTAAAATAGTTGCACTGCATTTGGTAATATCTTTCCAATATTATGAATGAAGTTCACCAAGAGATCAACCCACAAATGAAATCTATCTGTGAAGAAAAGCTAAACCTACAGAGATTTTCATCTGGGGAGTCTGAAGGTGAGTTAGACGTAGATTGTGGAAACATTTTCAGACATATGTTTGCCTTTATTGTTATGGTTGACTTAATTTCAAGAGGGAATTACCTTTTTTCCATTTAAATTCCCTTCATTCCATTTAAATTCTTGAATCTGTTTAAATTCTGCTTTTTGTGTATTATTTGCTAAATCTTGTCAATGCCATTTTTAAACCACCATTCAGTTTTTAAACCACACTGTCTCCCCTCTCGCTTTATTAGCAGCTGCACAGATCACAGAATCATAGAATGGTTTGGGTTGGAAAGGGCCTTAAAACCATCTAATTCCCACCCTCTCACCATGGCAGGGCCACTAGACCAGGCTGCTCAGAGACCCATCCAGCCTGCCTTGAACACTTCCAAAGATGGGGCACCCACAGTTTCTCTGGGAGACCTGTTCCACTGCCTCACCACCCTCCCAGCAAAGTATTTCTTCCTAATACCTAAACTAAACCTGCCCTGTTTCGGTTTGAAGCCATTTCTCCTGGTCTTACCACTACATGCCCTTGTGAAAAGTCCCTCTCCATCTCTCTTGTAGCCCATTAGGTACTGGAGGGTGCTCTGAGGTCTTGTTGAAGCCTTTTCTTCTCTCAGCCTGTGTCCATAGCAGAGGTGCTCCTGGACTCACTCCAACAGGTCCATGTCCTTAAGGTGGGGACCCCAGAGCTGGATGCAGGACTCCAGGTGGAGTCTCAGGAGGACGGAGTAGAGGGGCAAAATCCTCTCCCTCAACGTGCTGCCCCCACTGCTTTATTCACCAGTGCAGTGGGTTACAGTAGTTCACTCTAAAGGCTGTACCTGGAGCTCTCCTGGAGGTTAGAGTATGGGCACTGTTCCTGCCTGTGCTGTAGAGTTGCTCCCTGCTCAAGGAGCCAGTGCCTTTGCAGCCAGGGTAAGCAGAGAGGAGGAGCAATGCAGACTGCAGAGTGAGGGCTGCCCTCTCCTCTGAACTTGGACACCTTGTGATTTCCAACTCATTATTTCATCCTGTGAACTGACCATAAGGGCATTTCACACACAAGTGTTGCTTTCTGATGTCACCAGTTTCTGCCTGGAATTAGGCATTCCTAGATGGACTTGTCTAAGATGCACATCTGACGGGCTTTCCAGCAAATTAATGCCTTTCTTCATGTGTAACCATTACAAAGGTGCTATTAACAAAAGAATAAGTAGCTAATGCTATTTAACTATTAATTGCAGCTAATTACAACTGTTCTTGTCTCAAAGTATCAGTGATTTGGGACATAGCAGACTGAAAAATACAAGGCATCAATTCTAAAAAAAAGGAGAAAAATGAGGTAAATTTATATCTTGCCATTGTGCCTGGCATTTAGTCATTGATTCCTATACTTGTTCTCCAGCTTTGCTTACCACGCTGTTCGCAGTCCTTGCCAGTAAATCCAGGGCAGCATTTCCACTGCAAGGACTTCAGAGTCTTCTGTTTCACTTGGTAGACTGGCTTCAGAGCTGTCCTGTACCTGGAGAGGAAGGGTCTAGGCATTAGATTTATTGTAATAAAGTCCTTTGTAATCAAGTTTGGACTGATCCTGAATTCTATAGTACTCTGTGAGGTGTAGAGCATTTTATTATTAAACACATTATTCCAAAATGTCACAGTTACCAAGGAAGATAGAAATTTGTTTTAAACTCCCCTAGAAATAATGATGAGGCTTCAGTACTGTTGAAAACATCTTTTAGATACTTCAGAGAAAATTCTGTTTTCTTCACTGGTTTTATTTAGGACACTTACATGATCTTCTGGCAGTCTGGGGCTCCGTTTGGGCAGGGCTGTTGGGAGTTGACAATGTACTTCTCCTTCATGCAGGCTTCTATGTATGTGACCAGGCGGGACTGCGTGAAGGAACACCAGTTCCTAGTAGAGGAAAAATGTGGGAAAAGAGTTTGAAGGAGGTCTCTAAGTCTCTGGCTGTAATAGTGCCAAGAAAAAGTGAAATGCAGAAAGGCCTTTATTTTTACTTTTGTATTTTTTCCCAGCTGTATGATGAGGAAAGTGGAAAATGCTTCCTACCTTCTCCCTCCACTCCCAATTCCTTTGTTTTCATTTGAGATGTTTATCAGAGTTTGTTACAAAAGGGCTGATTGTCTGAACTTTGATGCGTTAGTTCCATTTCCAGTCCTTTCATTTTGCAGGAGAAATTTCCAACCCATGATAACCTGTGGGTTAATGTCACTTTAAATGTCAAATTGCCTTTCTAGGCATGTTGCCATTTCAGATGCCATATGACTGACTCATCAGGTTGAGACTGCTTTTGAAAACTAAATCCAACATTAACTCCATTAATAATATCTTCCTAAGTATTGCTTCTTCAAGATAATATAGTAAGTGATTGGATTTTATGAAGTAGGCTAGCTTCAAAATAGTTTCTCCCATCACCTGCAGGAAAATAATTTGGGGGGGGGGGGGGGGGGGGGAAAGGGTTGTTTTAGTTTTATGCTTCTAGAAAGGACAAGTGAGTTTTAATAGTCTGATTAATTTTCCAAGTGAGAATTACATAGGCACCTATTAATCCCAGAGTGTAGGTGAGCCTCTTCCTTAAAAGTCAAGATTTTGCAGTGGAGTGTTGGCTGAAGTTTGGTGGTTAAATCCAAGACCAGAAGGGGCAGGAAGTGACAAGTAATAACTATAATGGAAACAGCTGAACTTTAGGCAGTGTATTTTTAAATGGGAATACAGGAACCAAATCTCCATCAGCATATATGGAAAAGGTTTGCCTCTCTCAGGGAGTTGGTGTAACAATGGGGAACCGAGTCCTGCACAAAAGCAGAAGCTGGCACTGCAGCAGCCAGGAGAAGGGAAGGAAGCTGAAAGGATGGAAAGGCAGACAGCCTGGGCTCGCTGGGAACAGTTCACCAGGCTTGCTGGGCCATAGCCTGTTTTGCTCCCCTGTTTCTTAAGGAAAATGTGCTTAAGATTTCAGCAAGCACTCATGCAAGCAAAACTTCATCTGTTAGAAGCAAGAACAGGAATCTGGCAAAGACTGCAGTGCTGGGAAAGCAGGACACGAAAGGAAGCTGCTGCCTTTGTTGTGATTTCCAGACAAAACAACTTGCTTGAGTTGTAGCTTTGAGGCCTTTACAAGTGACTGGGGGAAATTTTGGGCCTATGATCAATGGATGTCTTGGTTTTTACAGGACTGAACTAGAATCTTCAAATTTTTATTGAAGTGTTACTGTTCCAGATTCAAACACTCTGCTTGTGTCAGAGTATAAAACCACTCAGTAAAATCCAGTAGACCAGTACACATGCTCTGGTGACATCTGCCTCCAAGGTATGCCTAAATTTACCAGCTTTACCAATGCCAGGCTTTAACAGCTGTGTCACTTTTCTGATAATTTGGTGTCAGTTAAATAACTCTAAAACAGGAACCTGGTTTGTGCTTGGTTTTGGGCTGTCGTCTCTCATGCGCTTGGCAAGACATAGCTGGGAGAGGCTCTCCCCCCTCAAATGCTCCCAACTTTTTCCTGGGGAAATCAAGTTCCCAGGCACAGTTGCTGGAGCTCACTGGTATCGTTGCTAGGTGCAGTATCCCTGCCCCTGCCAGCAGGATGCCTGCCAGATCCAGGCAGGAGTCTGCATTCAGTGTGGAAACCTCCTTTTAAAACAGGATTCTTTGGCTTCAGGGTTTTGTTCTTTCCTAATGAAAACAATCCACACCCAGTGAATCATCATCTGGGCTGTTTTCTTTTTTTCCCACCATATGCAGGTCCTTCCCAAGAAGTCCTTGGAGTCATGTCAGCCACATAGAGCAAAGCCAAATGTGCACATGCATCAACCTGTGTGAGCAAGAATGAGGCACTGTGGGACTGTGAGTGCTTTTGCTGTATTGCACAGGTGGATGTGCACAAACAAAACAGAAAACACGAGGTTTCCTTTTCATAGCATGTTAAAGTGTTGGAGGTACCTGGTGGGCTTCCCAGTTGTAGAAAGGGATTATGTTGTATCAGAAACTGAATCAGTGGTTGATCCCAACTTGATGCCTGCTTTGGACTAGTATTCTGCAGAATGAATAAGATGAGGGGGGAAATAAAGGGGGAATATGGTGGACTCTCGGTCAAAACGTCCTTTAGTGCCTGTTACGGGTCTTTATGTCCAGTTTTCTTTACTGGTTCACTGGTTCTCTCTCACTTGATCTTAAAGGTTTATTTGCGGAGCTGAAGGGCTATGTAATACCGTGTAGTGGTTTTAATCACAAAAGCTTTCAGAGGTTTTGGGTTCCATAAAACTTATCAAAGTTTATTATTTCCTCAAGTAAGTAGATAAGGCCTGTAATGAGCTGCCAAATAGATACATGTGCCCAAAGATGAAACTTCTATTGCAGTATTTTTTGCACAACTTGTCAAATGCTTCCTTTAGGGAAACTTTGCTATCTGTAACTAAAAATACTTCTTAACAGGATTAACCTTGAAGGAAAATACGTCATTCTTTAATGTTAAGTGCAGCAATGTAAAAGACTGAGAAGGGCTTGATCTAAAGTTCAGTGAGGCATGCAGGACTTCTCTGGCACCAAAAGCTCTGAATCAAGCTGTGAAATTTCAAAGAGCTGCTCCTTCACAAATAGCACTTTCTTTCTTGAGCTGGTTTGTGGAACACAGCAGCTTTGTGTTCTGCTGCTGCCTTTATTCTCCTGTTTGTAACTATGTCGCTTCATTCACTGAATATGTAACCAACTTAACACCCTCTGCTTTTATTCTCTTTAATACAGTTTCCTTTGGTGCAAACTTTTGCTGCCAGGAAGAGAGAGGGACAGAGAGAATCTGCTCATGTGAGGAGAGCAGAAAAGCCTTCCCTGTAATCTGGTGAACAGTAACATTTATCACAATGCTGAAAGTTAGAGCAGCTCTTGAGGGAACCCGAGCAAATTTAGAGCTGCAAATGTTTCATTTTTTCAATAGCTTTTCCTGATTCACATTCCAAAGAAACTAATCCATTCTTTTTAAAACCAGAAAAAAAGTGTTTTAATATTTTCTTTGCTAGCCTGTGGTGTTGTTTGTTGGGGTTTTTCTCCCTAGACTTCATTCTAATTATGAATTAATCTTTTTAAATAGAGTCTTCACATGCATCTATTCACTTCTGCCTAATTCTGAAGCAGCTGTATTCTTATGTCTGAGGTTAAATATATCTGATGACAAAGCATTCTGTATTTAAATAAGATTCAGCAGATGTAGGTTAGCCCAAGCTCTTTTTGTTTGAATCTTTCAGGTGTTTAGAAACTGATATGAAAAAATTTTTTTTGTTACATTTGATCTATTGAAACATAGCTAAAGGGAGGCAGTTCTTTCTCTGATTCTAGGATTTGGCTGGGCCACCTTATATCAGGAAACAAAATAAAACCCACAGAACCAGGAGAAAAGGTTAGATGGCTGCTCTGCAGTAATTGACTCTGCTCAGATGAATATGGGGTGGTGTCTTTCCTTCATACAGACAATTACAGTGTGTCAGTGAGTGTGAGTAATGCTCCCCAGCTCAGTGAGGGACTGACACACTTTAGTTCTGTTTGCTACATGTTCTCTTATTGGCACAGCAGTGCATAATTTTAGATGTTTCCTAGGTCAGTGGAATTTTTGCCTGAACAAAAGCTTCAGGAATTCAGGATGTTGGGATGTTTTTCATAAGTTTTGTTATTACTTTGGCTGTACTGGTCCAACTGAGTTGTCCTTCACCATCATTTTCCTCAGGTTTCTATTCTCAAGGAAGCCAGTATCTATAATTACTTTAAAAACTCCTGGCTGGCCATGCCTGTGTCTACTACTCACAGTGAAAAAAACTTTTCAAGACCATAACGTTTTCCTATGCAGTACAAAAGGCACCAGATAAGCAGTAATTCCTGCTTGGTGTGCTGTAGGAAGGTAGTGGAAGACTGTTATTTCAGTTTAAACAAGTGATTTTCTACTGAGTTGTACAGAATGACTTCTGATTTATACTAGTTGAAGAATAATATAAGAGTAAGGCTTTAGCTGTAGTTGGTTTTTCCCTCAGTGTAAATTTCTCACTGACAAGAAAAAGCAGCCTCAATAAAACAGAAATAAAGTACCACATTTAAATTAATCTAAACTAAGACTGTGCATGTCAGTATTGAGACAGATGTATCTTTTTATATTTTGTGGAATACAGAAGGTGTTCAGCTGTTGGGGAAGGCACTGGCTCTCCAAAGCAGCATGGTGTGCCACTGGGTTTTTAATTAGCAGACAAGTGATGCCTGGTGGTCTGTCTGAATTCTCCAGCTCTTGTCAGGCAGCCAGCAACCCTGTATTAGAATCAGACAGCAGAAACTCTCATATTTCTCCTTTCCCTCAGGAAAAGTCCCAAAGGGAATAGAACTCCCTCTCAGGGAGGGTCTGGGATCTTTCCCTGTCTCATCCCATGAAACACCCTGGTTTTCACTGGGGTGAGAGCAGATTTATTTGCAGTTCATCTTAACAAACTGGACTGAAAAGGGTGGCAATGGTAGTTTCAAACATGTGGTTTCCATGCAGTGCTGGAAATCTTCCAGAGTCCTGAGTAACCCAGGTTGAATGCAGTGTGTATTCCAACAGTTAAACTGTTTCTTTTGGGGTAGTCCTGTCCTGCAGGACGTCCTAAAACCACACTGCAGTGAAGACTTTCAGAGCAAATGCAGTCCTGAACTGGGAGCAAGAGTTCAAGGAACAGCAGGCTTGACTGGGAGCTGATTTTGAGTCCAATCCAACTGCTGTACAAACAATTCCAGACTAGTAAATGCAAGAGGATTTTCCTCTTCAAGAGCATCCACAGCCATTACCTCATTTCTATTATCCCCCCTCAATAGAAGTTTACAGCCCATTGAGAGAGCAGCTTACACTTGGATTTTATCCTTTGATTCCTGCAGACTTAAGTTCACCCCTAGTACAGCCTGATCACTCCTTTGTCAGACTTCTTCTGGAAGCAGGAATGACAGCCAGTGACCACCCTTTGGCACAGCTGTGCTGATGCCAGGGAGTCAAAACTGCTTGGGAAGCCAAGCTTCCCACTGGCACAGGCAGCTTGCCCTGACCGTGTTTGGGGCACGAGGGGAGATTTGTTCAGGGCTGCCCACTGATCACTGCACAAGCAGGAAGGTGTTGGGTCCAGGTGGTGATAGTGCTGACAGTGAGTCTGTGGCTATGCTGAAACAGGAGATCCCTTGCTATCTGCTGAAGACATTAATTGCTGCAGCTTGCAGTAATGAGCTATGAAACAAATCAATCCCATGGGCACAGAGGGTTCAATAACTCCTGCACTGTGTGGAATGGAGCTGGGTCATTTGCATCAAGCAGGCTAATGGGGAGCTATTCCACCTGCAGCTGAGCCAGTCAACGACAGCCAGATATTGGAGAATTTCCTGAAGTCCTGAAAGGAGCCAAGTGCCCAACTTTGATAGGAAACCATGGCTTCTGTTGATGCACTTGGCACTGCCAAAGCTATTGTTGAGCACTCAATGGCTGTTCCACTGCTTTGCAGGATGTCAGGGGCTAAAGATCACTTTCAGCTGCACTTCATCCAAACTGTTTTATTTTAAGTGTATGTTCTGTGCCCCTTTGGTGGGAAATTTCAGTATCCCATAAGCTTCCTACAAAAGTCCCTGCCTTGTTTTGAAGAAATAGATGAGTCAGTGTGGAACTGGTCTTAATTAAATTAATGGATTCTTCCTGTAAAAGCAGACAAAAAATAATAAGCTATTAAGATTGAACATTGACTTTCCTCAGAATAAGTGATTTGGGTTTTCTCTGCTTGTGTGCACTTGGGAGGATAGTTACATGTTTTGACACCCTGGGTAGTCACAAGATGTGGCCTGATTTTTTGTGGCTGCTTCATGTGGAATGAGAAGAAGAGGTGAGTGTTTCAGAGAAATAACAACACACCTGGCTGACACCAGGAAAACTTCCTCTAATCAAGGGTGACTTCACAGAATTGTGTGTCCAAAACTCAAAATGTGTTAGTGAAATTAAGTATTTGCTTAAGGTGAAGATTTCTGCCTTTCCTGTTTTATGGGTCAGGTGGTAGAGTTTGGGGACTTTTAAATTTTGTTTTTCCATTTTTTGCAGGTATGTTGTAAAAAAAAAAAAATCCCAGGAGATGACACTCTGTGTTTGTGGATTAAAAAGAAAGAAGAAAAAATGAACCTGCCCAGCTGCAGGACAAAACCAGAACAGGGGCCACTTGGCAATGATTACACTTCTGGAAACAGAAGTTCTGTGAGACTTTGGATAGATGGAGAAGCCAGCTGTAGTTGCTGTGCTCTTTCCCATTCCAGCACCACCATCCATTTCTCCCTTACAGGGTGAGCCATCCACCTGGGAACTGGCTCTGTCAGTGTTGTTACTGAGAGAGAAGGTTAAAAATAACCTCTGCTTTTTCCTAAGATTATTTTTAGCTTGGAATGCTTAAGTGCTCTGGTTTACAGTGTTACTTGACAGACAGGTCAGGCTAACTGAGGGTACAGGCAGCTTTGGGCTTTGCTGTTGGAGCTGCATGTGCCTTTTACATGCTTCATTTGTCTTGGGTTCTTTAATGAAATACAGCACTAGGTGCATGAAATCTGAGTTGTGAGCTTGACTGTTCCTGATGTACAGGTCTCTTAATTTCCCTTTTTAATTCTGCTGAAAGTTTTGGGTACATGTGAATCCATTTACCTCAGCAGTAGAATAAAATAGCTGAAGTAAAACCACACAGCTGCTGGGGAGAAAAGCAATATAAAAGTCGATTTCCTTTGGAAAGTTGGCTTCTTTTGATAGTTTTGATTTTGTACACATACAGATACTTGTCCAGTTGAACATGCAGAGCTTGTCCTATTTGTTCAGATACAAGCAACAGCTGAGATACTAAACTGTTACCTAGTTCTTCCTCTAAAGTCAGTGACTTCTTACTGATTTATATTTTAAAACTCTTACATGAGAAATCGTATTGTTCTTAGAGGAATTAGCAAGATATCCAAGTATTTGACTGGGATCTAATGAGTCATTTCATCTCATATGTTGAAACAGAAACTAGAGGATTCTGATTAATACCTTGAAGTACTTAGTCATGATGGACTCAATTATTCAAATAACATCAATTGAAAAAATTACACTCTACATTTTTTAAAAATATAAGAATATTTTGTAACTACCATTATTCCTAATACAAAGAGAAAATAAGAAGTGGTTGAACAAAACACATACTGCTTTTATTTTTTTAAATAATGAGAGTCAAAACATTGTCGCAAAGACCAAGTTTCCATAGAATGACTTTCTTTCCTAGTTCTGCAAAAAAAGCATTTTCTTATTTCAGAATCAAACTAGATGTAAGACATCATTTTGGTAGAAAACTATTCTCCACCATCCTGGACTTTTTTTGGCATATCTGTCACACCTTTTTATGGCATGTCTTTCTTTCCCTTTATCTCTCAATTCCTATTTAACTGCTGATGCTTTTCTTCTTGTTCTCCTCCTGAGAGATATAAACCCCGTTTTTTGATGGTTTTTTTCCAGGGAATGTGTCACACTTGTAGGGAGGAAATACCAGATTCATGACATCTTGTCTGTGCCTAGCAAGGTACTGCAGCCACAGCAGCTGACAGGCGCATGAGGACTTCATGCTCTGAAAGTGTGTTGCTTCAACCATTTTAGAATCTGGAGTGTGGTTACAAGATTAATTGTGTTGTCCCTTCTTATTCACCCTCTCTCCCTTTACTTTTAGATATAATTCCTCTCAAAGTCTCCAATTTCTTTCCTAAGACCTAGCAGCTGCCTGGCCTTGTGTGTGCTGTAAGTGTAACAGCTCTGAAAACCAGCAAATACCTTAAAGCTACTGCCAGGCTGGATTTGGATTGTCTGTAGTCATCCACATGGCTTTATAATTAGGAAGAATGTTATGATTTGACTCATTATGCAACTATCTCCATAAAAGAAGGAAGTATTTCTCTCCTTGGGAGGAAATTAAGATGAGTCATAGCTGGTATTGAGCTGAATTAGACAAGCTGGTGCTGAACAGAGCTACAGAGCCAAGGAAGAAACCCTGATTAGGACAGTATATTACAGCATCTTGCTGACCTGTAACGCTGACCTTTTTACAGCATTGAATTCTCATAGTGCTGGGAGTTTTCGGAATGTTTTCAGCATTTCAACCAGCAGTCAGATGATTACCACCTTGCAGAGTAACTTGGAAGCCCAGAGTACCCCTTGGGCCCTGTTTCCTTCCTTTGACCATGTCTGAACTGCATTAACTAGGAGTTGGTTAATTAACAGAGCACTTCATTATCGAACACTACCCATCAGGAAGACTTGCAGGCTTTGGGAAGTGCCTTGGGGCTGTTAGGGGAGGTGCAGATTTTTGGGAAGGTGTAGTATGAAAGACAGCAAGGTTTTCATACACTCACCATGATACATACAGAAGGGAGGCCTTAATTTTACATGTAGATGAGATTAGAAACAAGATTGCATTCTTCAGTTTGCGTGAAAGGGAAGCATGACATGAGCAAGGTTTTATAGTCTCTTTCCATCTCACTTTTTTCCTTTCCTCAAGAGCATTTAAAGGGAAAAATACCAGGGCATCCTAAAGCACTGAGCTGTGAACAGCACTCAGTGTGCTGCTGTTTCAGCTCTCCTGAACAGGGCTCTGCTGTACCCATCCATCAAGGCTATAAAAGATTCATTCACTGTCCTGCTTGGTTTTCATCTATTTTAAACATTTAGAGACCTACTTACATGCCCTGTAAAACTTACACAAATCATAGGGTTTGGGAATATTTCTGAAGTACGTGCCTTTTACTCTCAGAATGGCTACTCTTCTGCTTCACATTACTATGAAAATCATTTTGCTGGAATGAAAATGCCTTTGGAAGGGGGTGGGGGTGTGAAATTTGTAGTAATTGTCATGCTTATTCATTATTCCTTACTTCATTATATTTATTCCTCGCTGTTTTTATTTTGCTAACATCCTGCCATTACCTTTTCCTCTCCATTTCCAAGGCCCAAGTCTGCAGGCAGGCACCTTCTGCTAATGGGCAAAGTTTGCTATGCTCAGCAGAAATAATCAGCATTGGTTCATGATAAGAAACAGTCAGTAAATTAACTTCCTCTAATTCCGCTTTGCCAGAGGTAGTGTTTTGGTTTCTGGCAGAACTGGGAAGCTTCATCTCTGCCAGGTGTGTGCACACCCCTAACCCCATTCTTCTGCCTAGATTAAGCAAAGAGCTGGTCTCATCTGTGGTTTCACCCTCCACAGGCCATTGAGCTTTCTGTTTGTGTGCTTAAAGCATTTAAACCACTCTTGTTTGGATATAGATTGGCCCCTAAAATCTAATGTATTTTAATGAGAAGCTTCTAGTGAAAACCGTCCTGTATCAACAGAATATAAAAGTATCAGAGAGGATTGCACTCTTGGTATGTGTAAGACAGACATGCTGGGGTACTTACCCATTTCGGGGCCGTGAGCTCGCAGCTTCCAAATCCCCTCTCTCTTCCTGATGTGAGGAGATCACACTTGAAGGGTAATCTTGAGTATCCTCCCTGAGCCCTTCTGCCTCCCAGTAACCTTCGTGACGTGGCAGAGGAGTTCTCTGGGGGTGTGCAGAGGTCTCATGAACCCTTAAGCTGTGCAGGGAACTATGATGATCTCCATGATGGTCTGCGTGTTCCACCAGCTTCGCCAGTCCCACTGTGCTACAGACCAGCAAAAGCTTCACGAGCATCCTGGGCTCCTTCCCCCCCAGTTCCACCTGTCTCTTGTTCTTTTCTCTGAAGAAGCTCAGCCTGAATTACTTCAGAAATGCCCCGGCAATATTCTTTAACTGGAAAGTTGGAAGAAGGAAGGAAAAAATAAAAAAAAATTGTAACAAAGAGCGGAAAAAGCTTTCGGCCCTCCCAGCTACTGTGGAAACGTCCGTGGCTGTTGAACAATGTGAGCCTGGTTCCTGTGTGGGGCTCAGACGTCTCTGACAGGGGGGAAAATGAGGTGGTAGGAATATAGCTTATTCAAGGAACTTCTGAGCTTGCCTGCCTTCTAAACTTATCTGTGAACAGGAACTCGGCTTTTATCAACTGCCTTCTCCCTGAGGCACAGGAAAAGGATGTTAGCTTAAAGGAAAGGAAGAGAAAAGAAAGGAAAGAAAATACTGAGTGCTCTAACAGACTCTCATTACACTGCCAGAAAATGTCACGGACCTGCTTGGTCCAGTGCTGCACATGGAAGTTTTTCCTACAGTTTAAAGGCTGAAATGCCTTGGCTTTAGCAGCAGGGTATTTGTGATATAGGTATTTGTAGGTATATTGTGCTGGAACAAATTGTGGGCGTTGAGGGACTCAGAGCAAATGTACAGTAAAAAAGAGCCTACAAACATCCATTCTTCTGCAACCTTTGCAAAACAGCTCTGTGAATCATAGTCTGTTCCCATCAAAATGGAAGATTTTCATGAAGTTGTCCTTCAGAGAGGTCAGGTTAATTTTTAAGAATTTCTGTTTGGGTTGTCGTCACTGGGTGATGGGCATCAGGCCTAATTTTTTTAAAAATTATTTTTAATTAGTATTAAAGGAAAAACCACTAGCCAAGAGCTGATTGTCATCACTGGGTGATGGCCATCAGGCCTAATTTTTTTTTTAATTATTTTTAATTAGTATTAAAGGAAAAACCACTAGCCAAGAGCTGCTGTCAAGAGCTACCTCTGTCACCACATTCTAATTTATTTTTTTTTAAGGCTGTGGAGGTGGCATGTAGTTTTCTGACTGGCTTTGCTTTGCTGGTGGTGCTGCTTTTAGTTTTGTTGCTTTCATTAACTGTGTTTCTTCTTTCGCTGTCTTGCAGGGTGATGTGCTCTGGCATTTTAAAGAATAAAGTGGAGTGATGCTCCAAAACAAGTGGGAATGCAGGACTGCTAGATCATCTTGCAGTGTGAATGATCAGCCCAAAGTTCAGTATGTCTTGCAGTGCATTAAATGTAAAGCTTTTATGGATTTGTTCCAGTACCAGCTGAAAATAGAGGAAAAATCTCTCCAGGATTTTGGAAGGCCTTGTTATTAATGGATGTGAATTTGCATCTCCTTATCACTGGCTGGATTTGCACCCCTCTCCTGATGCCCCTATTTTATGCTTAATGGAAGAACATAGAGAAACACAGAAGTGCCCTTCCTGACCTGTGGTAGACACTGCTGCCTAAGTGACAGCAACGTATGGGGCCAGGCAGGGAGAGATTTTGCTAATTCTAAGGAAAAACCTGTTCTTGCTGTAGCAGTCACTTCTCCAGGGAGATGAAATCACAAGGTCTGGACTGAAGACTGAAAAAAGTTAGCAACTTCCCTCTGTTCCTTCCTGCTGCTTTTATTTCCAAATTGTGTGCATCCTGCTGTAACACATGTCAGTGTGTGAATATTTCGTGTGCCACGTTTCACACAGAAATGTGCTTTTGTCACAAGTAACTGGATGTGACCTAAGCATTATATTTGTTTATATATTAAGACCATTATCAGGAAGGAACTGAAGCAAACATGAGACAAAACAAGCAACAGGCTTATAGCCTGACCTGTAGTGAGATCCTGGCTTGCAGAGAAGGGACTTGGTGCTGCAGGAATTGAAGTCATTCTTCATGGGTGTGATCCCTCCCAAGTGGTGGGACTGTTTCTCTGCCATCCTCCTGGCTCAGAACATCTGCTACCCCTCCAGGTGGAAGAACCTGTTCTCTGTACCTCTGTAGTGGTGCTGCCCTGTGGGTACAGCAGGCACAGATTTGCAGGTTAATAATTTAGCACAATGGTTTTTTGGTAGTGGTTATGAAAGATGCTAAATATGGAGCAAGGGATGAAGTCTCTTTCCTTGTGGTAGGCATAGCATAGGATGCTGCCATGAACACATGAAAGACATTCATTATTCAAAGGAATTTCCTTACTGAACAGTAGCTGAGACTTCTGTGTAACACCTGTTACAATTTGTGATATATGAATAACACATTCAGGTTGTACTGCTGGTTCAAAACATCAGGCTTGCTAGCAGAATGAGCCATAAGTTTTCTTTTATATCTGTAGAGGAACAGGTATGAGGAGTGTACATACTCAGGAATGAGATACACCAAACTTTGCCTCTTTTTGTGTGTGTGTGTTTTTTGGTTTTTTCTTTTGTGGTTTTTGTTTGTTTGGTTTTGGTTTTTTTGTGAGCTGTTGCCTCAGCATGGAACCAGGGAAAACAGACATATTTGCTGTAACAACCTGCTTCTTGCTTTCTGAGCTCACTGTCTTCTAGAAGGTACTTTCTAGATGAGAAAGACATCTATGCACCAACTAACATCAGTAGATATTTAGTCACTCTTCAGTTGCCTAGTTTGGTGTTGGTGTATCTTACAGAGCTGGGTACCACTGATCTAATGAAAAAATTGGTGAGTTAAATCAATTTAAAAGATAGTTTGGAACATTATTTGGAAAGTGTTATTGTGAAGTGTTGTAGTGAAGTGTTACTCCAAAAATATACTCAAAAACCCATTCAGTAAGGGTTGTTGTGCTAATAGTGGTGTGGGGATCTTTGGAGATGCCCTGGTGGTTCTCACAAGTTTTCAGTGGTTCTAATAACAGCTAGCCAAAAGATACTGTTCCTCCACTCCTAATCCCCAGTCACTAGTGATGTTTTTCCCCCCTTTTGCTCTTATTCATGGAAATACTTTTTCTCCAAGTATTTCTAGGAAGTACTTCCTCAAAGTGTTCAAACTTCTTCAGTCTTCAAGCTAGCCTTTAAAGAGTTGATACTGCCAGTTACACTGGATCGATCACTTATGCCCTGGGATCTTGCCAGTAAGTGTCAGGAGTGCTCTTGCCTTGTCTGGTAATTCTAACCACTTCCATTCAACACAGCTCTTAACCCCCTCTGATGTTGCCCACCCCAAGCATTCAGTGTCCTGATTGCAATTCCGTAACCAAGTCATCAGATATCAGCACCATCTCCTGGGTAATCTGCTTAAGGTACAAAATCTCATTTTGGCCCTTTTCCTTTTGTTTAGGGTCAGAGCCCTGCAGCTACAGATGGACAGGAGGTGGGCAACCTCGGTGTAAACAGTGCCAAACAATGCATTTGATCAATGGCCTGTCTGATAAATGGCTTGGCCGTACTTGGGAAGCAAACACTCCGGCTGTTCCAGTCAGCATGTCTCTGGAGAAACAGCCCTTAGAAATTCAGTTTTCACTTAATAGATTCTGATGAATGTGTTTGTTTCTTTTCTGTCTTTCTAGATTCACTACCTACTCTCTAAAGCTCTTAATTATAGATTTAAATTACAAATCTGTGTATTAAAAAAAAAAAAACAAACCCTGGGAAAAATGTTTAAAAAGACAAGAAAATATGGAAAGCAGGTGTTGCTTTAGATTCTTATATCCCAGTTCCAAATCTCTGAAGCAGACTGAATAACTGAAAGGATTTTATGTCTGGGAAGACAGTTTTGCTGATAGCTGCACAACTTCTCATTAGGCACTGGGATTTAGATCTGGAAAATGCTGTCTCATCCCTTGCCCACTGCCGATGCGCGTTCATGCGTGTGCAGCTGCTCTGGAGGAAGAGAGCATGGGGAGAAGAGTGTCAGGAGGGGACTGCAGGGCTAGAGAGCAATTCCATTTGCTGGTCTGTCCATCAGAGGAAGAAGATGAATTCTTGTGCCTGTATTTTTAATGGTTTGCTCAAAAGCTCTCAGTGGTATTTGACAGCAGAGATCAGTCACGGAAGATCGCTGTACTGGCAGCACTCTGTGTGCTGCATGTGGCTCATCCCTGTGTGTGTCCTGAAAAATGGCTTGTCCCTGGCTTATTCATTCCCTAGCTAAGGAAATTAGCTCATTACCTATGCAAACACACATGCAGGGATTCAAATCCTAAACTGTTTGCCATAGGATGTCAGACAACTGCTTGTTTTCGTTAGGGCATGGAAATGACGTCTCTGTGGCAGTTCTCCTTTCTGCATTTTGAAGTTTTCATAAATGGAGAGAGAGAGGAAGGATTTCTGTTTATATATAGCAAGTTTCGATCCTGTTAATGTTAATATTATTCTCCATAAAGGAACTTCCTCAACAAAGGATATTTACCAGCCACAAAAGCAGTCTGTCTTTCCTTTCCTTACCTGTCTTTCAAACAATATCATACACAATTTAAATACTTCAATCGAATATGACCAAATCACACTTCTTTCATCCAGCAAAATGACCTTGTCAGCTGTTAGTCTCCAGCATAATTTCATTGTTAAAGACAAGGTTAAGGCTTTGTGGGCAGAGTAGCTTGCAACTGGGAAAACTCAAGAAGGAAGAGACCCAAATTAAGTAAAATCCTGTTTAATCTGTTGCAGGCACAAAGAAAAAGACATTAGAGGACAGGGAATTTTGATTTCTGCTTTGCATTCTTTTCTTTGCCTTGGATCAGTGCTTTGGGAATAGGTAGACTTGAGTTAGAATTCCTTGCCCATATTCCAGAATTGCTGGCAGATGTTGCACAGACCTGCTTCCAGGTGTCAGCTACCAACACCCAGGGACAGGTGGAGGTACATGAGAGGTGGGGAACTGCTCCTTTCAGGGGAAGTTTCTGCTGTTATCCGGCAAGAGACTCAATAGCCAAGTTTGAGCAGCCAGAATTCAAACTTTAAATGAACAGCAAGTGGATGGTTTGTCATTGCACAAGTCAAGACGAGGCTTTCTTTTGGTATTATGTAGATCAGCCAAATGTTTTTGAGTTGCAGATTTGTTTACAGTGATGTAGCTTAACTGGCTTCTCCTAGTGTTGCAAGAAGAAAACAGAGAAAAAGAGGTTGCTGCCAGCTGAGATAGGAACTTGGGGTTTCTGAATTGCCTGCTGGAGGCCTTTCTCTGCTGATATCTTACCTGATACAAAGGGGGAAACCTTACCAGGCAGAAAGTTAAGTCCCTAGCAAAATCTTAAAGCCAAGGTAGTTTGTGTTAACTCTTGTTGTTAGTTTTGTCTGAGGTAGGATTGGCAACAAACTGGGACTGAATCCTCTGCTTTGAGTAGAAGGATCCTGCAGTCACCTGGAGGTGGCAAACGTTGAGGAGCCACTGTGGATGCTTGCCCTGTATAGATTGCCTACGATGTCTTGAGTTCAGAGCTTTCCTAAAAAGGTTTCAAGGTAAAACAATGCCTGTGCAAACTGCCTGCTGCCTGGGAGGGATCCAACAGCATTGAAATGTGTCTTGTGAGCCCTTTCTCAAGGTCATTGGGACAGGGGAAGGCAGGAAAGGAGTATCCCACTTGAGTATTGGCTAATTCAATCTGGTGATGATTCATGTTTCACATCCCAGGATGGCTTGATATTTCATGTATTTGTTACCTTTTATAGCAATGCAAAATATGTAAAATTGAATTGTACAAATCACAATGACAGAACAATAGCTGAATGAAATCAAGATATGCTTCCCACTCAGCCTTATCAGCCTTGGTGTTCCCCTGAAAATACCAGTAAAACTCATAACCCTGGGAATGTCTGTGCTCTGGTTTAATGGTCTTTGAAAGTATGGTGGAAAAGTAAATAGGCCCTGGAGCAATTCCCAAAGATGGTAAATTCATTTTTTTTAAACAAATGTAGTTAAAACAAGACTCCTGCCTGTGCCTGGTGAAATCAATGGCAGTTTTGTGACTGGCTCCAGGAGCAGAGAGGTTAAACCACTGTTGTATGGCACAGTAAGGTGCAGATATCTTCAATCTGAGAGCACCTTGGGAGCAGGAAGGAGGACTAGCCATAGCAACAACCACCTAGGGGGAATTTTGACAGATGGTAAGAAAAACCTTTTCCACTTCTTGCTGCAACATTCTGGAACTATGTGAGCTCCTATAATAATTGGTACGCTGTGCTGGCCTTCCTCTGATTCCTGCACTTTTTAAAATGAACAATTGATAAATTCATTAGCCTGACAGAGATTTGGCTCCTTTATGTTCAGATGGAAATTTGTTCTTCATTTATAAGTAAGGAGACTTATTTGTGAGAAAATGATTAAGAACTGTAACGTTATTTCCCAGATAAACAGCTATTCAATAATTTCAGTATGTGGTAAGAAAAACACTTCCAAAGATGGAAGAATTATTTTTAGTTCTACGGTAAGAACTGTTTGTGTACATGTCTGCATGTACATCTAGATATAACATTTTTTGTTCAGACTTTTTTCTGTGTTGTCATTCCCCATCTGACGCTTCCAGGCTGATAACTTGTGGCAGCAGTGGCTTGCAGACCACTGCACTTCATGACATTGTGCTGTGCTATCTTTCCAAAATGCAGCTCAGCCTCTGAATTTCATATTCTGTTTACCTGGTGCAGAAAAACAGCCAAAGCAGGTCATGCTTTGGGCTCAAAAGCTGATGCAATGTGGCTTCCATAGTTTCACATCTGGCACTATTGAAAACAATAAATAAAAAATCACCTTGCTGCACCAGCAATTGCTTTCACAGCTAGCACTGAACTTCATTTTGTTGGTGGGGCAATAGCTGATTTGGGCCACTTAGGATCTACTTCAGAAAACACTTTAACTTGAGTTTAACTGCAAGTACATTAGGATATCCAACTGTGATTAATGATCATGTTTTGGTATTTTTTCTTAGCCAGGCCTTGAGGCTGGATGGATCCTCTGTAAGATTTCCCCAGCCAGTTCTGTGCTGGCTGTTCTCACCCTGCTGTGCTCTGCAGCACCGGCTCTGACGTGAGGGATGGTGTTTGGTGTGAGATGTTGTCTCACTCTGCGGCGGCAGAGCAGGGCTCTGTCTACAGCAACTCAGAGAAACAAATAGGAAACAGGATTTCCCCCAACAGGCATCTGATTTTTCAGAAATGAACCATTGTAATGGGATGTACAGCTGAGCAAACCCCACAATTTATACGGAATGACTTCACACTTGACAAAACATAGCAGGTGGGACCTCAAGCTTGCTTCACCTGAGCACCAAGCTGTAGCTGGTTCCCTTTTTCTCAGGTTTTACTAGAAATAATGTTCTTGTTACCATTTTGTGCAGGCTGGTTCTGGTAGCTGCCAGACCAAGAAACCTTGACCCTGTTTGTTTGCTACAAACACCGTCAGCATTACATGCTCTCCACCCTCTGGGGCCCAGGAGAGCTGGTGTTTGGCTCCTGCTGCAGCCTCGGGAAGATGCCCTTTCAGGAACTCAGCTCTTCTGCTAAAGTCTCCCTCTTCACTGAGACCATCCTTCACTGAGAGCATTGCAGCATATTTTAAAAGCTTTCTCTGTCTGGAAATTCTCCAGACAGCTCCTTACCTACTGCTGTCATCGTCCTCCTCTCCCCCTCCCTTATTAAAGCCTCCCCAGCAGATCCGTATCATTAATATTTCAGTATCAGCTGTACACGGGCATTGGCTACACTGCAGCACACTTCATCAATAAGAGCCAGCGAGGGCTCTGAGCTCTGCCACACTGCCTTCATCCAGCACAGGAGGAAGAGCAAAGGCAGAGCCTGCCAGAGAAGCTGAGATCTGCCGAGGGTAAGGCTGCATCCCGCAGTCCCAGCCTTGAGGTGCTTTTTGCTGCTTTTGCTCCCTCATTCAGATCATCCCAGATAATACCCTAACAAGCAACAAGAATGGATGTCTTTAAGAAAGGTTTCTCCATTGCTAAAGAAGGTGTGGTGGCTGCTGCAGAAAAGACCAAGCAGGGAGTGACAGAGGCTGCAGAGAAGACCAAAGAAGGGGTAATGTATGTAGGTAAGAGAGAACTAGTTTTGATCTACTTTTGAGCATGAAAAGCTGCATAGATTGTCTCTGAGGAAGTCTGGGAAAATTATATTGTGGCTGAAGCTTCGGAGTGACTAGCAGGATAGTCTGGATAAGATCCTGAGCTCTGCAGAGTTGCTGTGTAAACCTAGGGTACCACAGCCTCCCCATGCCTCAGTTTCCCCAACTGTAAGTTAGACATAGAAACCACGACTTCAGGGAAGGCAGAATGATGTTAAGGAGCAGATTCCCAGGTGTAAGGTTTGTTTGACTGTTCAGTGATTGTTTGCAGAGTGAGTCAGGCACTCTCCAGGCAAACGAGCACTGTGGTCTCTGCCTCACCTCCACACTGGGAGGGACTCACTGAGGAGGTCCCTGAGAGGAGCCAGCAGTGTTAGTGTGAGGGGATTGCAGGATGCATCTGTTTCCCCACAAACAAATGGGTTTGTCCTGAAATCCTTCTCCTGTTCACCGACCTCTTTCGTTGCCCATGCACACATTAATCTTGCTTTACAAGAGACGCCCAAATTCCTTTTGCCCAGAGAATAGGATCTGGAAAGCAGCGTGCCTGATGTCCTGCCTAGAGATCTCTTTCACAGTTAATGGGCTGAAACCTCCCCTTTCAAGGTCACCCTTGTAACCCACTATCTCCACTTATCTAGCACATGCAATTATATGGCTGGATGGTCAGATTTTCCATATAATACAAACGAGAGTCTTAGGTTCCCAAGACTGATTATCTCACTGCTGATCACTGCATTTCACACAGCTCTTTATTTTTGCTGGATTGGGAGTGTTTCTTTTTGTAGGAAAGTTTACATGCAGGCTCTTCCTGCTATCCTACTGCAACATCTACAGCTATACTTAGCTACTATATTTAAAACTGCTCTATTGCCAATAGCTACAGATATGTATTTGTACATTACAAATTAAACACAAAATTTGTATGCAGCAGGCCTTGTAATGTTTTTATTTTGATTTTTTAAATACTTAATTATTGATATGCTGGAAATGAATGGATGTAACAGTTCACATTTCAATTTGAAGCTGACCCACAAGAAAAAAAGGTAAGCAGCATTCCTGTAAATAACTAAACCAACTACAGTAAGTGAAACACCAGCCTAAGAAATGTCACATGTGGGTGTCACATTGTGGCATCATTACTGCTCCACCTGCTTCCAGATCTGAGTTGGGCTGAGGTTATTTAGAGTTTTTATACATAATTTCTCACATCTCTTTTCAGTCACGTTGTACAGCTCCATACTGTGACCTGGTTTTCATGGTTGAGCCGAGAGGTCTCTTTAAGAGATTCTAACCTTTTCAATAAAGTTTTCTGTGAGCCTAAAACTCAAATAAGGATCAAGGTGAGGATTAAGTGCTTTCTCCTTTTATTGGTTTGGTTTGTTGGTATACTGCTGGTTCCTCCCCTGTCATGCACTGGTCAGAGCTTTGCCTTGGACTGATTCAGTTCCTGTTGGGAAGCTCAGCCCTTTAGGGAAAATTCAGTCTTTCACAGGCAGGAAAAGTAAAGACCAGATGCTGATTAGCTCAGAAAATGAGTGTTTTGTTTTAATAGCCAGAGAAGGTGGAGGTTAAAACCGGAATGATTAGTATGTTGTTCATGCTGCCTTTTGTCACTCTGTGCCATACGAACAGTAAATCAGAGACCTGAACTGTTCCTTCCTTCCTTCTTCCCTTGCAGAGCCCTATCCCAGCAGCTTCATCTAGAGCATTAGGTGATAAGACTTGAATTTCTTGGATGCTAGGAGAGAATTATACTGTATTGAACCTCAAGGGTCTTTTGAGAACATCAGGAAAGAGAGCAAAATCCCCAGGGCCTAGGATGGATGAAGTGGATCCCTGACTTTTGTTCAGTTTTGTGTTAACTCATTGCTGACTCTCAGAGAAGGATTCCAAATGTCTGGGCACAACCACCCTGTCTGGTGAATCACTTGCTGCTGCCCAGGAGAAGAAAACAATGCTCACTCAGAGGCATCTGTCTGGAGCGAACAGCATCACTGGGACACTGTGGCCACCTCGTTCCCCCTCTGATCCATACAGGTTCAGCTCCCACAGCCCATGCCAGCCAGGAGATGCCTCCCTCCTGTGCTAAGCCTGCAATGCAGTGCCCCTGCCCTGCCACCGGCCTCGCTGAACCAGTGGGGTAGAGAAGAGAGTGCATGAAAGGAGAGGGAGGAGTCCTGTATCATGGGTCACCTCTTGGTGAAATCACCATCTGCTCCCCAAATTCTAGCAGCCTCTGAGTGTGCCAGAGTGTCAGGAAGTCCCTGCATGGGTAGTGTGGATCCAGCAGATGGTTCAGTGGGCTCTCTTTATTAATTTGATTTGAATAGGGGCGTAAGTGATGCTGAAGTTAATTTATGAATTTAATGCAAAGCCACATCAGAGTATTGAATCATTAGTACTGTTTAATGCTATAGTTCAGGAAGCCTCAACAAAGAATACACTTCTAGTTTTCCAGAATGGTTTTCGACCTTGTCTGTTGCAGAAAGCCCCAACACACCAAGCTATGGTTAAACGGAGTGATTCCTGTAGGATTTTATGAATCAAAACATCCCTCTCTACTCTAGACCTTCTCCCAGGGCACAGCACTCCACCACCTCGGTCCCACCCTGGTGGTCCCAAAGCACTTGCGGATGACTCAGAAAAGGCAGGATGCATGAACTTTTAATTCTGGGTACACAAGCTGCAGGCAAGGACTAATGAGTGAAATGAGATTGAGCATCAGGTGATTGCTTTCTGATTCAACAGATGCGGGCTGCTGGCAGGAGTGTGCGCCGGAAGGTCGGGTTTCATGCGGTGCATAATGGATGGAGCCTGAGTCATCGGGTGTGGCTGCGCTGGGAGGATGAGGCGAGCTCTCCCCAGGCTGCAGCAGTGACTCTTCCCAATGACATTGCTTCTCTCATGAAATGGATTTGGATGTTTTCCTCCTATCTGCATCCCTCCTTTCTGGAATTATTTTCCACCCGCAAATATAGCACCTGCTCACTCCTCTTCCCCGTAAAATAACTGAGCACAGATAGTCACCTTAAAAGTCTGGCAAAAAGCATACAAAACTGCAGCTCTTGTGTCACTAAGTGTGTTTACTGCAAAACTGCAAAGGCATGAAAGGCTGGTATAGCAAATTATGTACTTTACTTACCTATCAACTGCTGTTTGACCAAAAAGCAGCAAAGGGCTAAGCTTGAGGATCTGAGTCTGATATGAGACAACCTTGTATGTCAAATCGACATTGTGGCAGCCTTTTCTTGGAATGATACTGGGAGGGAAAATGAAGCAGGATGGTGTCTGAACTGAACCTTGTGTGTTTGGCCCATTCAGGGGCTCACATTTGTGGCTTGAGACCTGCTCTGCTCAGTGCTGTGCTTCTGCACATGTTTGTGTGTCATGGGCACCATTATTAAATCCAGTTCACAGCAGTGCACATGTATCATGTGCATCACTAGGAACTGTAGCTTACAGCAATTACAAGTTAAAGGTACACAGATTCCATTTCTTGACCTTTAAGACAGTTTGGCAGGGTGGAGTGAAATGTTGAGGGCATATTGTAGTAGAATGGTTTTGTTCTCCTCCAGGCAAACACTGCAACCACCAAAATAAATCAACAATTGAGAATTACATTCAATAATACATAACATGTATCAGGCAAAACAGAACTGAGCTGGGCTGTTGTTATCAGGGCACTGCACCTGTTTTGCTTCTCAGGCTATTAATGAGAATGAGCTGTGGCTTGTGACTAGTTTCTCCCACCACACCCGTGGATGCTCCACTATCATGGAATCAAAAATCTGCCTGGTTGTTATCCATTTTTATCATTTTGATAGTTGGCCATAGAAATCCTTTTGTTGTATCAGTATGAGAAACCTGAAGAGAACCTCTATAGGTGCAGATGATTTGCAATATACAGTAAAGTGGGACCAGTGGAATTTTTTCTTGTGTTTGTTTAACTTCCAAAAGAAATAAATTTGATCCTTTATTTTTTCAATGTGTAAAGCACCTAGTTACCATGGGGGCTGCCCATCTACCATATGATTTAACTTATCTGCAGCACTATCAAGTACAAAGGATATATAGCTTGTCACTTGAAGCATGGAGGAAAATCACAGAGATTAATTATTCCTCAGGGCTATTTGTGTTGCAAACTGAATGCCTTCACATCCTGTTAGCTTTTCTGCATTGAGAACAGCAAGATAAATTACAATGTAAGCATAAATGTGGTGTATTTTCATAATTTGAGATAAAACCATCTGCTTTCTGTGCATTGCTGTGAGCAGGCACTTACAGCCTAGGCTGAGGCACCAAACTAAGTGAATCTAGTAAGTAGGTATGTAGGAGGTAGGTGGTGGTTCTGTAAATTCAGTCTCAGGTTTCTCCAGAGTCTTTATTAGTGGTATAGAATGAGACTTTAAATGACCACTGCAGCCAAGTATCCTGCTGAAAGGCAGGGGAAAGTCATGGATGTGACTTCTTGTCTTGTGAGAGTGAGGTAGGTGAGATGTTACCAGGTGATTTTATTTACAGTCATTTTACAACTAGCTTAAAGTTGATTTACCACCACTCAACTGCTCATTTTGGAAATATTGCAGGGACAATTTTTTATAACCAAGATTTTTCAGGTCTAGGCATCTCCAGAGAATTTGCTGTTGAAGCTCTCCAACTCTCAACACAAAGATACTCATTGGCTTTACTGGGGAGGGAAGCTGCTCTCTTTTCTGACTCTACAATGGTTTGTGTCTGAGCAGGAGGTACCAGCAGCACCTTGGCTCCCCACTGCACTTCCTGAGAGCAGGAAACCATCTGTGTCCAGAAATCAGGGTGTAATTTCCAGGCAGCACTGATGGACTGTGTTTCCTTTCACAGGCACCAAGACCAAGGAGGGCGTAGTGCAAAGTGTGACCTCAGGTAAGAGCACAGCCTGAGAGGGATGTGGAAATCTGTGGTGATTGTTTGACCTCTTGGGAAGGCCATCACCCCTGCCAAGTGGGAGGTCTCTGTGGGACACCATTGATCTGCCTGACCTTCCCACTGATGAGTAGAGGCTGCTTGCCAGGAGCGGTGGTTCGGGGTCTGGCATTTGCAGTGGACATGGGTGGGAGAAAATATTTAATCAGTAGAGTAGGTCAGAAAATTCTAACACAGGTTACTTGGCAGACTGGGATGATTCACAGCTATTTAGACATTTCACAATGTCAGGTGCACAGCCCAGCACACAGAGGGGATTTACTTGCATCAGATCCTGTCTGGCCAAAACTGTGGTCTTTGGGACAGTCCTGTCAGGCAGTTGCAGAGTCAGGGACCTAAAGGTCTCTTCTAGGGTATCTCCAACTCTAAGGAGGAGCAACCATATGGACCGTCCTGAAGGAAGATTAATGGATCCTTTCCCTGGAGAATTTCATAACTATTGCTGTTTTCTGCCAAGGGGTATTAAATCAAACAGAAAGTAACCTGGAAGAGGTCATGCACAGTCTGCAATGCAAAATACCTTATTTACACTGCTGTCTCTCAGTATCTGACAGTGAATTTTTCATTCTCTGGCTGCCCACAAAGACTGACAGGCTGCAGTGCTGCTCTCTAAGCAGCATTTTGTGCCAGACAAAAATCCTCACATATACGATCTAAATTCAGACGTGATCTCATCTAAAAAATCCAAACAAGGACTGCACCAGGGCTAGTTTCTTCTTTTACATCAATGCAATCATTTGTCATCCCAGGGAATTTGGCAGCCTTCTGGCAGTGTCTAGTTTGCTGACTTCTCTGCTTTTGTTGAAAATGCAGTTGCTGAGAAGACCAAAGAGCAGGCCAACGTGGTGGGAGAAGCTGTAGTAGCCAGCGTGAACACAGTGGCAAACAAGACTGTAGAAGGAGCAGAGACCATCGTGGCCACTACAGGAGTTGTAAAAAAGGTGTGTTTGTTTGTTCTATGATGGGCAGGACAGAAGAGCCTTTGGATTAACCTGCAAACATTTACAGTTTATGGCTTTACTTATTTCATGAAAGGTTTTCAACAATACCTGCTTTTGTATAATGCTTAATATTATCATATAATGCCTAATATAGTCACAGAATAATTTAGTTTGAAAGGGACACCTTGAGATCATCCAGTCCAACTCCCTTAGGGCCAATGAGAGAGGACTGTCCCAGTGGGTTTTGACTATCTCCATGGAAGTAGACTCCACAATATCCCTGGGCAACCTGTGCCAGTGTTTGACCACCCTCACAGGAAAAAGAGAATTGTTTTCTTCTGTTCAGATGGTCTCATTAATCACTTGATGCCTATTGTCTCTTGTCCCATCAGTGGGCACTGCTGGCAACAGTCTGGCTCTCCATTTTCTTACGAATGTAGAAAAGCATTTTTCCCAGGGACTTGAGTATAAATGTGTGTGGGCTGCAGTGAGCAACTGGGCTGAGTCAGAGCTCAGGGATGTGCAGAGTGGGAAGGCACGGGAGCCTGCACTTGCCCTCACCCCTGTGCCGTGCTGGCAGGATGCACAGGCTTGCCCTGGCCACGGCAGCTCCGGAGGCAGAAGAGGGCAGCAACAAGCCAGGCACAGCCTGGTTCCAGCAGAAAGCCTGACCCTGCTGCTCTGCTTCGTGCTGGTTTGACAACAACCAAGTGCTTATTGATAAAAGACCGTGTGACCCAAATTGTGTACGGATTAAGCCAGATTCAGACAAGGCATCTTCTGTCCTCCAGCCTAATTTGACCAACGGGGCTGCTTCAAGGGGATTAAGGGGCGTCTGAAGGAGCAGAACAGTTCCTTAGATGAAGGCAGTGTTGATCATTAGAGAAGATGCTTTGGTAACAAACAGCACTAATTTGTGCAGCAGAGGCCAATACTTGGCAGCTCTTTGGTAAGCCCTTCTCTTTCCCCTCTTTCAGAGAGTGTGATTGGTGTTGTTGATGGCCACATGAGCTTTATGAGTCACAGCAAACCCAAACCCAGAATCAAAGCGAAGCCAGCCTGGCCAAAATCGTTTTAATTGTTCAGATAGTCGGCTGATTAATTTCCTGACCTGCACATAAACACATTGTGATGTGAAACAAAACTTCTACACAGCATATAAATCCTGAGAGAATAGCATAACAAAAGAGGAGAACAGCAGCTACAAGTGACGCAAAATGTCCTCCTGAAAGCATGTGAAAAGAGCAGATACAGGAGTCCTGCTAAACCCTTGGGATAAGTTTAATCTCTATTCCCACAGAGAACAGCAGTTAGGCTGCAGGAGTGCAAACAGCAATTCCTAATTCCATGGGGCCTTCCTACCTTTTGACTGACCATGGGGTGATTGACCCAGGAGAGTGAGGAATTTGCTGATGGTAGGAATCCTTGCTGCAGATAGCAAGCTGTCTCCCCTCCAGCAGGGACTGAGCAGCAGCAATCCTCTTCTCCTTTCCTCCTAAGTGAGAACCCCACCTCAAAGACTGACAGCTACAGCTTACAGCTAATTTCAGAGCTTAAACCAGTGCAGGTTTTCCAGAGAGGATCTGAACTGTCATTCTCATGTCTTCCATTGATGCCCAATTGCTTAGACTTAAAATGGAGATTGATTAAGAAATAATGCATTAGGATGTGTCACATGCCAAAGGGCAGACTAAATGGAGCCAGGAAACTGCTTTGGATACAGCGTCATGCCATATAGCAGACGTGCTGAGGCAGCAGACTGAAAACAGGAGGAGAAAAACAAGAAAAATCACAGGAGAAAAAAAAAATCAGGATAAACATTTGCTTCTGTGAAAGAGGGTTCATCTGTTCTGCTGGATTAGTTCAGCTTGGGAGTGCAAATCTTTTATTCATACTCACCATACTTTAGCATGTAGCTAGACACCTTTTAGATCCAGCTAGACACTGAAGATTGGGCTCCACATGCACATTGAGTGCATGCCTCATCCACTGCTAATGGATAATTGCCATGGAGCCAAAGCTGCTCCAGAGGGAGGGCCCTGAAAGGAGTATAAAGACTTGTGCCGGGCTCTCAGCACTGGCTGTTTTTTCTCCAGAACTGCTCCTATCATGTTACACAATTTGCTAATGGAAATACATCCAGAGTCTGCCAATAGCAGCACCAGGCTCTGCAATGCATGAGGGAGACCCACTGGAGATACACTAAGAGTAATAATGTATAGCTTTTAAATGTTTAACAGTGAATATCCACTGTTATAATCCTGCAGTCCTGCAATAATCACAAGCATTTCAGCCCCAGAAGTTTGAGAGAGCATCCAGTCCTGAGACTTGTTTGTGCTCCATACTATCCTCCCTCTTTCTAATTGCACAGAGCACTTGCCAACATCTTATTTGGGTTTTCAACTCTCTCCAGTGTAGTTCCCTGCTATAGAAGGGCTGTTCAAAGTGCCAGGGATCTGTGAATGCATGGCACTGAGCAGTGCTCGGGGTGACTCGGGGCTGGGGACTCCAGTGGCCTAGAAGGCATGTTCCCAGCTGGCCATTGCCAGTATGAATATCAATTATGGAGAGCTCGTTGACATTTAGTCTGTGCATTTGACAGCTGGGATCAGTGGCAGGCACACGTTAGGAAAGAGAGGGCTACTCTGAGGGTTTTGGGGTAAGTTTTGCTCAGGATAGCCGTGGGGTGCAGGTGTATCAGATGGTGACTTTGGCCATGGGAAAGAATTCAGCCCTTTGTTGCATCACAGCAGGCACTGAAATGTGGATACCCTGGCAGCCTGCTGTTCCTCACTGTCCTTGGGGGGAGCACTCAGAGCCATGCAGAAGGAAATGGGGCTGAAGTAACCCTACACCTATGGGAGGGGTGCCAAGCACCAGATGAGAACAGCCTTGAGTTGTACTGGCACTGCCTGACAGGGCTTTGGCACTGACCTGGTCCTGCTGAGTACAAGAAAGAATTGACTCCTATGGGGGAGCTTTTAAGTATCAACTAAAAAATCTGTAAATTAAGAGATTATAAACCCTCCACAATTTTTCTGATACAAAAAGGAATTAAACCAGTCAGTAGTGTGTCCTGTCTGTGACTTTGCACCCATCCCCATCCCTGGGATGGACATTAAGAGATTCCAGTGAGATAACCACCCACTAAATATCCCTGTCTTAGAAGAGGATAAATGCTTCGTCTGTATGACACAGCACAGAGCTTGCTGCAATGCAGACACCACGTGTCTGGGAACAAGCCCATGTACACACACTCTCAAAATGTCCCTCAGGGTTTGGAACAATTTCCCCAATAACTGATGCTTCCCTACACCTGCCACCTAAATCTTCCCTTTAGATCCATTTGTCCTGTCAGTTTTTATGATTTAGTTTTCAGTTCATGACTCTGTCACTTTGAATTGGGTCTGATCTGTTTTTTTCCTTCAACTGATTAATTAAATGAGCATTTGTCAGTTATGTGCAACCGCTGGGCGCGTTCTCTGCACCACAGCCTTTCTGTGCACCTGATCTGGCGCACGTGGGCCGCACCCACGCCATGGCTCACCTCTTTCATAACAACTGCACATCTTGAATGGGAAAGGCTGCTGTTCATGGCCTTAATTCCCTTCACTTACACCCTGCAATGCCTCCGATGCAGAGACAGTCTGTTGCACGGCAGGAATTAGAAGCAGAAACTGAGTGACCTTCCTGTCCAAGTTAGATTGGGCTGGGCAAGTGCCACCATGAGAGAGCAACCAAGGGCATCTGAGAAGCCACCAAAGGCAGAGCTGCTAAGCAGGAGGAGCAGGGAAATCAAAGCCAAACCACCCAACAATTAGGTAGAATAAATAGCTGAAACTTGTTCCCCTTTGTATTCAAGCTTTCCTGTATTTAGTTGATGCAGTGATGCATCCCAGTGGCATCCTTCCACATGTCATGGAGCACGGGAGACTGCACAAGCAGCATGGAGTGGGGCACTCTGCCTACAGGCACTTTTTCTGTTTTCCCCTCTCAGTCACATTAGTGCATTCAGGCAGACATTTTCCCATGCAAAATAGCCGAGTTAGTGGCACTGGTGAAGCCTTAAAGCCTACAAGACCATGGATGTGCTCCATGGCTCAAGGCTGTACCCCTGCAATCCCATAGGATACGCATTAAATATGTATCATTTTTATAAGCAGTCCCAGGAGACTCTCAGAGAGTCTGGCTGTGAGCTGGGTAAAAACAAAGCCATCACAAAAGACTACCTGGATTTGTAGGGTAAGACAGGAATCCTGCATTCCCCTCTGTCTGTCCTGTTGGTGGGTCCACTCACTTTAATCATGGGTTGACCCCTTAGTCAGAGCTGTTGGCATCACTCTGAGCACTCAGCCTGAAACCTGTCCAGGACAGCTCGTCCACAGGACCTGCCAGGCTGCCTGAGGCTTTCCTAGGGAGTGGTTTGGGGATGCTGCCAGACAGCATCGTGTTTGCTCCAGCACCCAAGGTCAAGAGCACTACAGGAGGCTGAACCTCTCCACCTTATGCAATTGATGTCCCTTTGAAGGCCCTTGAATTTGTAGTACATTAGGCTGCCAGTAAACCTCTCTGGCTTTTCAGCCTTGAAATAATAGTAATAATAATAATAATGAGGATTATGAAAATGAAATCTTGGTTGCCACTGAATTTGTTGATAAGTATATTCCAGCATCCAATATCTGGACTGCTTTCTCTGTTATATAAGGATGATAATCTTAGTAAGATTGTTTATGTCTGAATATCTGGGGACAGCAACAAAACTCCCACTGACCTACAAGATAATATAGACAAAAAATATAAATTCTACTTCATATATAAACTCAGACAGTGGACAAGTCAATTGCTGAAGAGCTGAAAAAGAGAATTTCATAAAACCTGTGAAAATGAGAAATCTGAATAATTAAATTGTAATTAATTTCTTCCAGTATTTCTGGGCTTTCAAAAGCAGTTTCTAAAACAACTTATTAAAATATCTGAACCCAGAAGCCTATAGTACAGTCTATTTAAGATCCCTTACCATTACACAGCAATATTTTTTAAAATTGCAGGACTTAATTTGTTGAGTTTTTAATTAGTGTAGCTGAACATGTACCTCTGTTTCATAACCTTAGCAAAATATTGTATTTTATATATAGAGATCTCCTGGGGTGTATATATTCTACATAAAATATATTTTTAAACACACAAAATATTTAAAAACTTGTGTACTATTCTTGGAAGGAATTCTGAGGTCTTGTGTTTCACTTAACTATTATGTTCAAGTATTTCACTTTTCTTTCTTCATTAGCAAAAAAATATTCAAGTGCCCACCCAAAACCAGAAGAAAATAGCCCCTAGCGAACTAAATGTTTAATTTTATTTTCATTTAAAATACTTTTTCTAAGAAAGTACATAAATTCTGAGGGGAAATATTTGGCTCTCCCTTTAAGAGCAGGAGGAGCGTTACTAATTGTTTCATGGTTTCAACATGCCTTTAGCTTAGAAAATGTTATCCCTTTTAATGAGGAGATGAGCATGGACAGGAATGGCAAAACTCTTTCTGCCCCCCAAGGAAGTTGGATTTTCACCCCTTCTTTCTTGCCCAGCATTGTTCTGTGAGTCAGTGTTGTAGCTGAAGCTGGTGCCCAGGAATTTCTGGCTCTTTGTCCAAAGTGGAGACCCCTACACCACATGGTCCTTCTCTGGATATTGTCTTCCTGAGCAGTGCCTGAAATCCCCAGCCAGGTAACACCCAGCTGAAGAATGCAGCCCTTCCTCATCTCCTGCTCCCTGTTCCAGGCAGGGTGGAAGCGCGTGAGAAAAAGGCTGTGAAGCGCCATCCCTAACACAGCCTGACACCTCTTCATCCTGCTATTGTGCTGGTTCCTCCAACATAGCATAGAAACACCCTCCAGAAACTCAGTTGCTTCCCTTTCTAAAAATAGATAGTTGATTTTTAGCCTTCTGGAGCAGTCTTGGCAGACAGCACAATCTAAGGGATCCAGCAAGCAGCACAATAGCTGAACAGGGACTCTCCAGCCCACCCCTTGCTCTTGGATACAGTGTCCCAAGGGTGGTCCTGAGAAAGGTGTCCCTCTTCCAGGACTCTTTCCACATCTACCAGAGCACAGCTCCCTGCCCACAGGAATAATAGGTGGTCATACCCTGTGGAAAGATGGAGTGCACTGCACTGGTCCTTGTGTTACTGTGAGCTGTTCCCCAGTTTTCCCAATGCAGCTCAGCACTTTAGGCAGTTGCCTTTGATTGACCTTCATGATTTCACACAGCAGTTGGTAGCTCCACCTGCAAAACACTATGAAATACCTGCTGTTGCAGCTATTGTCAGTGGCTTCCTTTGGAAGTTGCTTTCCTTTCCACCTAATAGTCAAAAATCTGTTTGTAAAGCTTCAAAATATAATTTGAGGCCATTTACCTGCTTTGGCCTAATGTGCACTGTAGAGTTATAAGGTGTAGATATGCAAAGTGTAATGTAAATGCAAATGTGCTTTAAAGCTGCAGGCTGGATCCTGAGGCTGGATAAGTGTCCATAAATTCAGAGTAGTGAGCTGTTTGCTGGCAGCAAGAGAGCTGACTCATTTCAGAAAGACTGTGACCGAGTGGCTCCATCAGAGCAGGCCTCTCCTAAAGAGCTGCAGGTCTCCCTGCAGGAGAAACTGGCTTCCATGATGTGCAGTTTGATGTCATTTGATTACCTGGGCTTGCTTAAAATAGCTCAGGCTGGTACCAGCAAGAATCATTTCAGCCAACAATGCAATGCAAGTTAAGAGCATGTTCCTTAGGAGAAGATGGTCACACTGTGCTTCTCATCTGGAGACACCAGCAGCACATGGTGCTCTCATAAACAGACTGATCAGCTCTGGTCTCAGCAGGGAGATGAAGGAATGCCTGCAGCTGTGACAGACATCAGTACAGGGCTGCAGCTCATACTTTGGCTATTTTCTGTCTTCAGTGGATTGATTTTACTGTAGCTTGCATGGACAACAGGAAGCCCATAGGTAGGATGAGCAGGTTGCAGTGCTTCCACCTCCTGGCTCCCCTTGCTGCCACACATGGATCTGAAGTTCAATTTCCAGATTAAATTTTCATGTGCTCTACCTTGTATCTATGAAGCTCCATCTATTTTTCCTTTTTACTTCACATCACCTTTGTTTCCCAAATTCAATCCAAAAAGCAGCAGGCGTGGCAGGGATGTAATCCTACTGATGAGAAAGTTGTGACTGGATAGGAAAGTAAGGACATGTGTGAAAAGGAAAAGTAGAGTCCCCTAAACACATGGAGCGTAAAGTTTTGTTTACAGTAGGTTTGGCCAAGACATTGGTTTGCATTGCATCAGCAGCAGCACCAAGCAAAGAGGTGGCCTTGTGTTTCCAAAATGTTGAAATTCATAACTTTGCCTTCCATGCAAAATTGACTTTTCCATAATATATGTGTCTCTGGTTCCCTCTGTGGTGGGCCTGACTTCATGTGGGAAGAGAGTCATACAGGGGAGCTACTGGGCATGTGTGCTCGAAGGGAGCAGAGAAAGGAGATTTGTAATTTTAGTTGAGTTTTCTGGTGAACTCAACTAAAATTACAGAGGTCCTGCTATTTCTGCTTCCCCTCACTCTCACTGACTGGTTCCACCCAGGTGCATTGTTGCTTTCTGTCCATCCCCTGTGCAAATCTTGATCCTGTCTTCTCTTCCCATGCAGCCAAATTGTGTTTAACATAATTACCTGGTAATGCAGACTTTTCTCTTTTTCTTGAATAGGAAGATAGCTGAAAGAGGTAGGCAAGTAGCTAGAAGAGCCCAAAATACTTAATTAAATGCTTGGACTCAAACAAAAAGAAAGGCTTATCCTTTGATAAGGATATTTTTTCTGAAGCATCACATTAACAGCACCACAGTACAGACTTTTAGTGCATGAAGTGCTTAGGATAAGATAATGTGGGTAAAGGCTGGGTATAGCCTTGCTATACATAAATTTATTTGTTCCTCCCAAATTTCTTCATATTGATGGAGACAAAACTCTGGTCTCAATGACAGAGAAAGAGCTGATTTTCTGTATGAAAAAGACCCTAAACCAGGCTGTAAGAAATTGAGTTGGCTTTTTCATAGATATCTACTCTAACCAGCTGCACAACAAAAATGGATTTCAAGCAGTATCTGCCATCTATTAAAGCTGCTATTTTGCTTGTGTAATGCTCACCCCCATCTCGCTCAGCCTGTCTAAGATTAGGGTGATGACTCTGCATGTGGCAGCAAGGACAAACATCTTGCTTGTGACTTGGCAGGAGGACCTGGCAGCGCCGCAGCCGCCCGAGCAGCCCAGGCTGGAGGGAGAGGGGGCCCCGGCAAGCCCTGCAGGAGAGGTGAGTGGTGCCACAGCCCTGCTGCCCGGGCTCTCTGTGCCACACCTGGCCTCTTTCTGGGTTCCTGGTTTCCCCCTGGCAGAACCTCCCCCTTGCCACTTGTGGTTTAGAACTGCCATGCAAGGAGCCTATCACTGTTCCCACTTTCCTGAGTTGTTGGACAAAAACCTGAGCTCATCTGTTCTCATTTTCGCCACTTCCTTAGCTTAGGAGTTTTCCATGAGTGCCAGATGGGCAGATTGCAAGCTGCTGCCTGATTTGGGTTGATTTTGGGGTGTAAATGCACATATTAAAGTTAATGCTGTCCTGTGGTTCTGTCATCACATGGAATAGCTTTTTCCTGTTTGCAGCCCTGCTTTAGAAGAGATTTAGATAACAATAGATTTTTCTATATTTAAATTAGTTTATTTAATTTTTTAACTGTTCTACCTGCAATGTTCTTTTGAAGCCCTGGTCAAAAATTTGTCTCTGGGCCAATTTCAGCTCTTGAACAAGGATGACTTTTTGTCCAACATGGACAATAGGGGTAAACGCTTCTCATGTGGTATTACCTTTACAATTTCAGTGTTAAGGCCTTTGTCTGTCCCTTCCACAAGTACTGCATGCACCCAATGCCCACAGTTTTCAGCCTTTCTGAAGCTGGAATATTTACCTGTTTTCTTACTTGTCTTCTCTTACAGGGTGAAATTGAAGGTGATCCATCAAGTTAGGGAATTCTTGCTCAAAAGAGACCATTCCAAGAGCATACATGGAAGTATTAGCTGACACTACAACAGGAAAATCCCACTGTCCATAGACTAACTACATTCAGCTCTGTAGTCTTGCACTTGCCTCATAAACCAGTTGTACAATATATGTAAGCCAGACTCCTCTAATTGTAAGTGACGTGCAGGTGTGTACTGGGCTGTGTGTCTTTCCCATCCTCCCTCCTGGCCTTCCAGTTGCTTTGTATATTTTGGTTGGACTCACGAATCTGTGTCTTGCATCCATATGCACTGGCACTTGGGATCTCTAGGCATTGTGGATTTTTTTTTTTTTAACTAATAAAAAGTGTTTGAACAAGTTTTTTATCTTGTCAGTTTTGTTTGCACATTTTAGATGTGGATCCTTCCAGACTGATGCATTTTTTTTTCTGTAAAAATGCAGTATTAAAATACTCAAAACTGTAAGGGCCTTAAATCATGTTGTAAGAAATTAAGAATCATGAAAAATGGTATTTCTGAAAATAGTACTGTAGGTAGGCTGGCTTTCTGTCTCTCAGGCTGAAAAACAAATATTTCACTTTTTAAATACTTGCCATGTTTAAGAGAGAATGTGGGGGTGATATTGGATGAAAGGAGGCTTTTTAAAGGAATGTGAAAGTGATGTTGAGCTCAGTTTATTCTGTCTGCCCCAGAAAGCTGTCCTGACATCAGGATGTAACAAGCTGCCAGAAGGTAATTAAAGAAATGTGCTGGGCACCAAGTGACCTGGTCAGAACTGCACTGCTGCTGGCAGGGACGGGCAGGGTTGCTGTGAAATGTGTGAGTGCCAGGGCAGGTGCCAAAGGAGAATCTCCTGGTGACCACGAACACGGAGCTGGTATCGGTTACAGCACTCGGTCAGGCTGCAGATCAGCTGCTGAGTGAGGGCAGCAGAGACCCTCTATATTCACCAGGGTAGAGAGCAGGAAAATGTTGCTGTGAATAATGGGCTAAGTTTAAAGCACATCAGAAGGTATGGATATAAAAATGGGTTCTTTTATTTACCTACAGGAAGAGCACCCACGAATCCAGGAGAAGCCAGTGTAAACTATTGAGATTTAAATTGCTTCAAAATCAGACCAATAACCTTCATTAAGCTGCTAAATGATGATGACTATGGAAGGTATTACAGAAGAGACTTGCTGTGGCATGGAAGCATCTAGCAAGTGTGCTGGCAGCCTCTCTCAGGCATAACAGTATGTGTAAAGCATTGCCTTGCAGAGACAACAGGATTTTCATCCCAGTGGGTCTTTGATCTCAATATAGAAAGGGAACAAAAGAGCCCTAGCAGAGGTAAAAGGACCTTCAAAGGAAGATGTATCTGATATGTGCATACTCTCTTCTGATGTCCTACAAGTATCTGCCAATTAAACAGAGTAACTAAAATTGAGGCCAAGGTAAGAGGACATAAAGAGATACTCATGCCCAGCAGCAGGAGGCTGGAGTCTATTCTCAGTGCTCGCTAGAGAGAGACAGAAAAACCTTTTGCTCAAAAGCTTCGCTTAATGGGGATACAAACAAAATTGTGTTTCAAAAAAAGTGTTTTGCAAAAATTCGGAGGTGAATGCCTTCACTACATAGGGCATGCATGGGAGGCAGGAGTAGGCTCAAAGGATCAGTAAGCTGCTCACCAAATGCCCATCTCTCAAGCAGAGTTCCCCCCTGGTTCCAAGGGCTTAAACCAGGAGAGAATGGTAATTACTGAGCTAAGAATGCTGTGCCACATCTCTGCCACACTGGGCTACGTGGTTGCTTGGGAGAGCAGCATGCAGCTCTCTGTGTTTCCTTCCCCGTGGAAGGGAAAGTGTTTTACCAGTATTTACACAGCTGTATCTGGAACTGTGGGACTGAAAACACTGCTTGACTACTGGCTAACATTTGGGCACTAGAAGTGTCCAAATGTTTCCTACAGATGTGCCTCTGCACTTGCCTGCTTCTCACGTGGGACAGCACTGCTCAGGGCTCAAGGCAGTCCCAAGTCTTGGAGACAGACTCCAGGGCATGCAGTTTCCTCCCACATGAGTGCCCTGTGCCAGTGAGTGGGAACAGGGCAGTGCTGTGCCCATGCAATGGCTCAGTGAGCCTCTATTTCCTCCCTGTCCCTTCCCCAGACTGGCTGTCACCCAGCTGTGGGGAGCAGAAGCCAGAGGTCTGAGCCACATTTGTCAGAGGTAAGAAAGGTGAGGACTTGTTTCTTTTGAAGTAGAAGGGTCTTTGATTAAAGAGACAAAATATTTTCTATTAATTATTCAACCAAACTTTGTTGTACATCTGTTTAGTTCATTGAAAGGAAGTCTGTGCTTTCAATGAGAATTCAGACAAGTGTAATGAGAGGTGATGGAAGTGAAAAGTGGAATGATGGAGGAGGTGTGTCAGAAACATCCCAGAGGAGAAGGTACTTTCACTATGGAAGTGCTGGCACCCCCTGCCCCAGGTAAGTGCTGAGGGAAGCAAACACCAGCAAAACTATTTTTTGCTGACAGATCTTGTGCAATCAAGAATTTCTTTTACTCATCTCACCCTGTGAATTATTGAAGTGGACTTTGTACATGTGATACCACTGTCACACGAGATGTTAACTTAATCCCACTGTGATGAGACAGCACCCAGTGCCAGGCACAGTGTGGCCACTGTCTGTCCCCAGTGAGGACTGTGGGCACTTGCACTCTGACCTCTGAGGGGATCCAACCAGCCAGGAACAGCTGCTGCCAAGTGTTGCATCAACCTCACCATACCAGTGACCAACAAAGTGCTGAAAACTATTTTTTCCCCTTGTACCAGCAAAACTTCCTTTCCATGTAAAACTGCAGTTGAGCTTTATTGAGTGATTTGTTCTGATAGAGCTCACAGCCTTTGTGAGCTCCCCCCAGTTACGTCCTAGCCAAGGGCTGAAGGGCATGCAGGGCCTGATTTTTCAAAGATGTTTGTCTGGGATGAAGGAGAGGAAGCAGTGGCTCTCTACAGAATATCCCAAACAGCATTCCACTAATTTAAATGCAAATCAGGTAATAATACACTTAAAATCCCACTTCATTTGAAAGTCCTATTTTTGTGTCTGCATAATGCATGTCCTAAAACTGAATTCACAGAGTACCCAATTAAAAACTGAAGGGCTGTTTTTATAATACTGTTCTCTACAAAATCACATTCTCACCTCTTTGACACATTGAAACTCACTTTAACTGTTTCATAAATGCACTGAAACCCTACCAAATCACAAGAAGATACTCCATACTGTTAATAGCAGAGCAGACAAAGCTCAAATCAAAACTGCACTTTCTGAATATCAGACAAACCCCTGCCCACACGAGTTTGAAACAGCACAGACTTTCTCTGTCAACCTTTGGCACTGCTTTTTTGTGAGGATCCCCACATGCAAGGCAGCTCTGCTTCTCCACCCTTCCCCTTCCACTAAGCCCATGTGGGTGGGCAGCACAACTGTGTGCCACAAGGGCAGAGCCACAGCATTCCTTGCTCTCAGCGTGCCTAGAAAATATACACAGCTCTTCTGTAGACTGTACATCCCAGCTCACAACCTCTGCTTTCCCAGCCAGTCACTCCTGGGATAGGACCAGTTATTTATTTCCCCAGTTCCATGCCAGATTTTAAGGTGGCAGTCAAGCCTTTCTCATCTTCCTAGCCTAAGTTAAAGACCAGACAATTTTTTTGTTGTCTTTTCTCGTCCTGAATCTGCAGGATATTGTGAGACTCCATAGCACTCCCAGTATTTAAGGATGGTTTTAGGTGCTCCAGATGATAGTAGAAACATGACACTTCACCTGGATGTTACCTCAAGATTGAAAAAGTAGAAGGTAAAGGACTCCATTTGCATTGGCTTTATGTTGATCTCATGCTTTGAAGCAGAGCTATGGATAAGTCCTGGAGGATGTTACCACCTGTGTAAAGGAAGAATCAGTTAAACCTACTTTTCTCCCGGTACTGTATGTCAATATTTGAACCAAACAGCTAATTTAGCTTAATTGGGAAAACTTTAGTTTCTTATTCACCTGCTGTGAATATATAATTAAAAGTCTAATTGACCCATTGAGGGGAAAAAAGGATTGCTGTTTGAAATAACAAGATCAACTTTAGTTTGATCTCCTAAATTACTGACATATGACTTACAATAATTATCTATGAGCAAACCATTGCATTTCTTAAAACAGTTCTGTTTCTTGACATAAACATCACATCCCTCCCTGACTAATATCAGTCTCCTTTAGCAGCCATGAATGTTGAACACTGCACACTTTGTAAACTTCTGGAGTGATCTGTGTAGAACTTTTTAGCCCTGACACATCATTGCATTTGCCTTGCTAATGGACACCATACCTATCTATAAATCCCAACCCTGGTAAAATTAAAATTTAAGAAAACCCATATAAATTTCAACACTTTTTAATTAACCTCACTTGCTCATTTTCATGTGTAAAACATAAGCTGTAGCTCTGATTAATTACTTCTGACCTTCATCGGGTAATAGAGCAGAAGGGTTCATGTCACTGATATATGAGAGGGTGCTCAAAGCTGCCACTGAAGATGTGTGAAAGGAAAGGAAACCAGAACGATTTCTAATTTCCCCGTGCTGCTTTAGATCTAGCTCACAGCTGTTTGGGCTGTGTATTTGTAGTTGCCAACTATTTCCAGGGCCATGGATTGTGAAGAACTCCTAGCACTTAAGGAATCAGTTTTGGGTTTCTTTTCCCCAAACACAAATAACTGCTCATCACAAGGAACAGGCTGTGAAGGTGCAGAATGTGGAGAAAAAGCCCAAGGACTCAGACACAGAGAAGGGAGTCAAACATGTTACGTGTCAGAGGTGAGCAGACAGTGCTGCTGGGGCTGCTGACATTTTTGTACTTCTGGTCCTGGCCAGTGTCAGTGATGCACCCTGGCATTACCAGGTGGAGTAACTTTTGGAATAGGCTGAAATTCCGGGGGCACCTTGGAGTGTGGCTCCTCCTGTGCTGTGGTACCTGCCCCAGCTGGCATTAACCAGGATTTCTACCTGCAGTCTCAGCAGATCCTGAGAGCTGAAAGGAGCAAAAGTCCAAACTAACTTCCCACCCTTTCAAATCCTCATTTTTAAGCACTAATTAATGTCTAACATCAGTTCAAAAGGCTTACTATTGTCTTCTAAAAAGTAATGTTAACTCACAGAGTGGATAAATATTATGCAATATATTCCATTAATTTTCTGCTGTGATTTTGTAACTCAGCTGCTACCTGATGCACCGATTATTGGTACCGTCATATGGAATGAATACTATGCAAATGTCCCTCTTCCCTCTGCTCTGGGCTGCATTGTAATGATCATGC